GTAGGTTGTTTATTCTGTTGATAATTTCTTTGGATAGTTGGTTTTGACCCCCAGTGTACCTATCTCCTCATTCCTATCTCTTTAGTTTAATTAAATTCCAATTGTCAGGGTTTATTTTTGTTACATTTAAAGTACTTAGTCATAAGTTATTTGCTTAGGCCAATGTTTGTAAGAGTATTTTCTAGGTTTTTTTTTTTTTAGGGTTTTTAGTTTGAGGTCTTACATGGAAGTATTTAATCTATCTTGAGTTAATTTTTGTTTATAGTGAGAGGTAGGGGTCCAGTTCCTTTCTTCCTGCATATGGTTAGCCAGTTTTCCCAACACCATTATAGGGTGCCTATTCCCCATTGTTTATTTTTGTTAACTGTGTCAAAGATCATTTAGGTGTAGGTGTGGGTCTTTATTTTAGGCTCTCTACTCTGTTATATTGGTCTATGTATCTATTTTTGTACCCGTACCATGCTGTTTGGTTACAGTAAACCTATAGTATAGTTTGATGTCAAGTAATGTGATGCTTCTGGCTTTATTCCTTTTGCTTAGGATTGCCTTGGCTTTTCAGGCTCTTTTTGGTTCCATATGAATTTTAGAATAGTTTTTTTCTAATTTTGTAAAAAAAAAAAAAAAACGATGTTGGTAATTTGATAAGACTAGTGTTGAATCTGTAGATTGCTCTGGGCAATATAGACATTTTAATGGTATTGATTTTTTCAACCCTTGTGCATGGAGTTATTTTCTATTTGTGTCATCTGTGATTCGTTTTAACAGTGTTTTGTAGTTCTCATATATATCTTACATCTCCTTGGTTCGATGTATTCCTAGCTGTTTTATTTTATTTTATTTTAGTGGCTGTTGCAAATGGCATTGTATTGTTGATTTGTTTCTCAACTTGAATGTTATTGATATATAGGAATGCTACTGAGTTTTTGTACATTGATTTCATATCCTAAGTCTGGTGAAGTCGTTTATCAGATCTAGGTGTCTTTGAGCAGAATCTTTAGGTAATTTTACTTCCACTTTTCCTATTTAGACACCGTTTATTTCTTTTTCTTGCCTGATTGCTCTGGCAAGGACTTTCAGTACTACGTTGAATAGCTACTGGTAAGAGTGAACAGCCTTGCCTTGTTATTTTGGAAAATGCTTTCAACTTGTGACTGTTCAAATGATATTGGCTATGAGTTTGTCATAGATGGCTCTTATTACTTTGAGGTATGTTCCTTCAATGCCTAGGAGTTTTAATTATAAAGGGATGTTGGATTTTATTGAATGCTTCTTCTGGTTCTATTGTGATGATCATATGGTTTTTGTTTTAATTCTGCTTACGTTGTTAATCACATTTACTGATTTGTATATGTTGAACCATCCTTGTATCCCAGGTGTTAAAGCCCACTTGATCATGATGAATTGATTTTTGATTTGCTGCTGGATTTGGATTGCTAATAGTTTGTTGAGGATTTTCATATCTGTGTTCATCAGGAATATTGGCCTGTATTTTTCTTGTTTTGTTATATCATTGCCAGATTTAGGTATCAAGATGATGCTGGTTTCATAGAATCAGTTAGGGAGGAGTTACTCCTACTTGACTTTTGGGGGATAGTTTCAGTAGAATTGGTACCAGCTCCTCTTCATACAGCTGGTAAAATTTGGCTGTGAATCCATCTGGTCCAGGGATTTTTAAGTTTTTTATTACTGATTTTGTTTGATTACTTGTTATTGATCTCTTCAGCATTTCTGTAAACACACTAGTCTTGAGGGTTTTTTTTCTGCTTTTCTAACTGCTCCTTCTATTTCTCTTTGTCTTCACATCTCCTAATTTGGGTGCTCCTTTTCTCCCAGGCACAAAAACAAATGCTATTTGGTTTGGGCCCCCAAAGTACCTGTCTCCTCATTTCTATCTCATATCCACTTTGGCTATGTGTATGTATCTGTTTCTCTCTTCTTTCCTTTTAGCCCAATTTAGGTCTTTATGTTTAAAGAATGATTTCCATGTAATACTTTCTTCTACTTCTCACCTCCCAGTGAACCTTCAATCGCCATAGTAAAAGAAGTTAACGTCCCTTTGCACCTTGAAGTCCTCTATTTATCTGAGTAGTTGTCGGAGAGCATTCTTTTTACCTTACTACCTTTGAATACTGTATTGTATTCTGTTATGAGGTGGTCAGTCCAGTGTGGCCATAATAGGAGTTCGTGTGGCCATAATAAGAGACATCAGGAAAACAAAGTTTATTATACTCACAGGTCCTAGAGACAGTAGGCACAGCATACAGTGCAGGGGTCACGTGGGGAAGACACCAGGGTGTTGAGGAGGCAGAATACAGGAGTGAGTGAAAGGTTAGGCCACTACCTTTACTGGGATTTCTGAAGGGGAATAGTTAGGCCATCACCTTTTTGCGGTGGCATGATGGTAGCTGGCTGCAGCCTCAAACTCCTGGGCTCAAAGGATCCTTCCTGCCTCAGCCTCTGAGTAGCTGGAATTAGAGAGGAAAGCCACCCACCAGCTCTAGGCCCCTACCTTTATTGTGGTTACTGTGGGAAAATCAGGACAGAGTAAACAGTTTAGGATTGGCTAATCTGAATAATTTTGGAGGACTTTGGGACTACTTAGGGGTGGTCTCTAGTTGTCTGGTACCTGGCCCTAGGATGAAGGCAGAATATTGCCTCTAGAGTCTGATTGAGGAAGTATGGCTCTAGATTAGTTGGTTTGTGTATCAAAGACACGCTTCTGGCTGGGCCCTTTGCTATCTCCAGGAATTGACTAAACCTGGAAGGGGCAGTCTCTTCCCCAGCCAGAAAGGTTTTTATGATGTTAAAATATCATAATATATTAAAAATGTAACAACATTTTACAATACAGAGGCCATACCTTCAGCCTCATCCTCCCACCAGAGGCAGAGCCAGGGCACTTAAATATTATTACCAGTAGACCATTGTACCAGTGAAATCAATCTCTCTGTGTTATTTAGTGCTTTATAACTTCTAAGCAGCTTTGTTAGCATTTTTATGGCAACTTGAAAGGGGAACCAGTATATAGAATTTTCACAAACTCCGTGAGAGTGGAATATTTGGTTCTGGAAGACTTCCTATTAGTAGTGTGATAATCTTTTAAGTGCTTGTCTCTGTTTTTCAAATTCTCATATTCTTTTAGCCTTGTTGATTTATTTACTATTATCTTGAGCATGTTTCTCCGGTGGTGTTTTTTTCCTCCAATTTTGTTGAGGTATGATTGACAAAATAATCTAATACTGTACTATCTTAAAATCTTCACAACGGTAATGATACCCTGCATAGGGATAGAGATAACAAATAATGATAAAACACACAACTACAACTTTAAAATAATGAAACTTCTATGTGTGACTTATGGAAGTGACTCTGATTACTTGACTAGAATGTTGTGGAAAAAAAAGAAAAAATAAAGGTGACTCTAATTACATTTTATTTTCATGTAAGTTTTCAATTACTGACACAAGCATGCACTCTTAATTTTGCCAACTATATATGCACTCTTAATTTTGCCAACTATATATGCACTCTTAATTTTGCCAACTATATATGTCTAAGTAGTTCTAAAGTTTTCTATTTGTGGAAGACTTCAGGAAAAAATAGAAGTGATTTTGTGAATTTTTAGAAAGTGAAATATTTATACATATCTTTTATAATTATCTCGAGGAAACAGGGCTCTGGTTCATGTGACATACCTAATTATTCATTCTTACTTAAGTAATACATCTGCCAGAAATTAGGATGTGTATATTGCCAGACGTTAGCACTGTCTTAGAAATACTGCTGTAAGGTTCTAACTTTGTGCTCTCCTGACTGGTCTGCTCTGGATGTGTGTGTAAGGATGAGAAGATGGGGTGTTTGAGTGGTAGGAAATGGAAGTGTAGAGCCATATCCATGGTCTAGACAATTCTTACAGATTGCTGTGGCCTGTTATATTTTATTCAGTACATGATGCTCTGGCTTTTTCCAAGTAATAACTGGATATAGCAATTTGAAAACAATGTATTATAATTCCTTAGAAAATATTTCTGTATATAGAGTGGCATGTCTTTCCATAAATTAGCCCTATTCTAATATCAAATCACAGCAGAAGTGGTTAAAAAGCACTCACATTTTTCTTTTTTTGTGTGTGGGAGACAAGTTTTAGCTCTGTTGCCTAGGCTGGAGTGCAGTGGCGTGATCTCACTGCACCTCCACCTTCTGAGCTCAAGCCATCCTTCCTCAGCCTCCAGAGTAGCTAGGATTCAGGCAGGCATCACTACACCTGGCTGATTTTTTTTTGTAGAGACAGAGTTTCACCATGCTGCCTGAGATGATCTCGAACTCAAGAGCTCAAGCCATCTGCCCATCTCAGCCTCCCAAAGTGCTGGGATTACAGGCATGAGCCGTTGCACCTAGCCTGGCATAACATTTTGAAAAATATAATTATAGCAGAGCCCTTGCTAATGAGATACATGCAGCAATCTGTAGTTTAGGATTAAAGGAATTAGTACAGCTATTGTTTTCTTTTTGCTTATCACATAAAAGGTTGCTTTTTGCCATCAGATTGCTATTCATTAAAGTGTTTAAAGTTAATAATAAATCTTCCTTGCTCTTGGCAAAGTCACCAGTGAATTTCTTCTGTCTAAGCCACATATCAAGTTAAGATGAAAATAGAAGAGAGCCTCGAGGTCTCTTTGAACACTGTTCCTATGCTAGCCGCTCCAGTCACTGCATTCACATCTGAATTTTCACACACCATCTTATGATTGTAATTTATTATTTATATATTTTTTTCTGTTTCTTAAGCTTTATCAGTGTTTGTGTACTTGTCATGCAGTCCTGCTTTTAGAAGAGAAACCATTTTACTATGTTTCCTTTCTTTTGAATCCCTTCTTCTTGGAGGTGCTTAGAAAAGTGCTTATGCAAAATAGGTGCCTAATGAATGTTGGGGACTGAAATCTAGTGCTTTATTTCATTTATTTCTTTTAATAGTTCTGATTGTTTTACTTGCTTTCCAGGCACACAAACCAATGGTCTGGACTTTCAGAAGCAGCCTGTGCCTGTAGGAGGAGCGATCTCAACAGCCCAGGCGCAGGCTTTCCTTGGACATCTCCATCAGGTAGGAATGTTCTGCTCAACCATCAGTGAGAGTGAAAGAGGCATAAAATGCTAGGGCCTGAGGAAATTACTTCAGAATGTGGGGCCTTTAAACTTACTTAAAGCCTAGTGCTAAGTATGTATCATTGTGTCATTCTATTTGGTTAGTATGAAATCCTATAGTTTGAGAGTATAGTCATCGACCCCACAGGTGTGTGGGAAACAAAAGAATTCCTTGTGAATGGAATGCGTACAACTGGTTTGCTGTTTTTATAAGTGAGAATCTGTGGTGCCTACTTGGTGATAGTAAATTATCAGTTAAAAAAGATGTAACTACAGTTGCCTGAGACCGGCTGTATACGGCTCTGAGCTCCAAGCTCATCTCTGTCCTCTAAAACAGTTTCAGACCATGATAGTTTGGGCAACTACTCAGAGGCTTTTGCTTGACTGTAACCCCCAACCCCTATTTTCAGGTTCAAAAGACTGCCACAACTTTGTTACCCTGTTCACAACATTTTTTTCCCTGGGTCTAAAACAGACCATGAATTCTGTTCATTCATGTTTTAGCTATAATGTAGAGGGAACAGGAATAAAAAAAATACAAACCCTAGCTACTCAGTAGTTTGGGATATGGAAGCTGGTTGAAAATGGAAAACAGACAGAGAAAACAATTGGGAGATAGATTATCAGATAGATATAGTGTCTCAACCTCTTGATTTATGTCCACACTTATATATTAGAGCAATATTTTGGTGGTCTATAGCTCAGTTAAAACCTAGAACTAATTTAGCATGCAAAATGTGTTGATAGTAATGGTGCTAGCAGTGGTGTAGTGATGGTGGTGGTAGTGATTCAGTGAAAAACACACGTGAACATAAGACCTCCTAGGTAACAGATTAACATATTCAGTTACCGAACACTGAATATATACATCTTTCTAAAGTCTTTTCATCAAAACATGTCATCAGACCACCTAAACTATAAAAGAAGCTCTTCTACTTGAAAACAGGTAAAATTCTGGAAAGCTGTTCTAAAGCCCATTTATTTGTTCACGGACTCAGAGATATCATGTAGGCCCCAGTTAGCATCTTCTGTTAGAGTGAAGCCTAATGGAACACTTTTGCCTAGGCACGTAGCTTTGTTTATATCTTTGAAATGCAAAAACTTCAATATTAACTTCCAGATAAAATATTAAGATGAATTAACATCTAAAATGAGTTAAATATATCCTAGAAGAAAAAAAATGTTCCGTGTTGATTTTGTTTTCTAAGAACATAGTCAAGGCTCCAGTAATTTTTCTGGGTCCTAAGGGGAATAGCATTTTTGACAGAGTTTAGTCAATTATTTGGCACCTAATAATCATCTTTATCTGGCTTAAATATGTGATGGTCCAAATGTATTTTTAAAAGTCCCTGAGGGTGCACAGATGATGTGCAATATTCTCCCCACTGGGTCCAAATTCCAAGATGATTGCAACTCTCCCTGTATCAGATCTAAGACCCCTATATCTAGCCACTGATTACCAAAATCATAGACCCTTCAATACCACCCAGACCAAAGGAGTGCAAACCAAAGAATTTTATTTGAAATGGTGACACCATTGAATCTCCCATCAAGACACAAGTCCTTACATCTGATTAGATAATTAACTATGTGATACTTGCCTTCTATTTCCAGCCCCCTTGTTGGCAGAATTAGCACCTTTCCTTACCGTAATTATAATATACATACACAAAATAGATGGTTTTAGGTGTGTTGCCCCGTTAACTACAAGTTCCGTGAAAATAGATACCCTTTTCCTATTTACCTATATCCCCAGCATTTACCAAAGAGCCCCATAATACAACAGGTGTTCAGTAATTATTTGTTGAATAAATTAATAGATGACAAAGTGGTCAAGTATAAGACTACTGAGGGAGAAATGATTAGCTTAGCCTGTACAATCTGAGACTTTTCTCTCGGTGATTTTTGAGCTGAGTCTTGAAGGGTTTTGGAAGCTAGCTAAATGGAGTGGTAAAGGAATGCTCTCATTTTTTGAATTTTAACTTTCTATTTTAAAATCTTTCAAATCTGTAAGAGTTACAGCAATAGAATAGTGTTCATCTGAAAACCCTTCACTTGGAATCATCAGTTGTTACTATTTTACCATATTTGCTTTATACCATATGGGTTTATGTGTATATGTATGTATGTACACATACAAAATACATTTTGCTTTTACCATATGTGTATATGTATGTATGTACATGTAAAAAATATCTTTTAAATGGGATCTCATTACGTTGCCCAGGTTGATCTCCAATTCCTGAGCTCAAGTGATCTTCCTGCCTCCCATGTAACTGATTATAGGCATTCACCATGGCACCAAGCCAAAAAATTTTTTTTGCTAACTCCTTTGAAAGTTGCAGATATTAACCATTTACTTCTAAATACTTCAGCATGTTCTTTCTAAAAATAGCATTCTGTTATAAAACTACAGTGCAAATTTCAAATTCCAGAAACCTAACGTTGATGTGATATCATTTTCTAATATTGACCCATAGTTACATACTTTCTGCCCACAATCCAGTCTGTACTTTGTATTTAGCAGTCATGTCTCTTAAGTCTTCTTTAATCCAGAACAATTCCTCAGCCTGTCTTTGTCTTTCATGATATTGACATTTTTTAAGAATAGAGGCCAGCTGTTTTATAGAATACTCCTATAACTTGAATATGTTTGATTGTTCCCTCAACAGCTAAATTCAAGTTATGCATTTTTGAAAGGAATACAACACAAGTGATGCCGAGTCCCTCTCGGTGCATTCAGAAGGCATATAATATTGCTTTGTCCCATTATTGTGATATTAAGTTGGATTATTAAGATAGTGTTTATCAGATTTGTCCACTGTAAATATGTCTTTTTGCCTCCTGGTAGGTAATACTCTGTGAGGCAGTACTTTAAAGACTGTAAATATCCCATTCCTCAACAAACTTTTACCCTGAAACATAAGCAAAATCACATAAAATTTTATCTTCAAATCTGTGTACCTGAAGCTCTTTCCTTCGGTTCTTTGACTTCTTAGCTGGTAGGTCTTAAACATATTACCTCTTCAGATAGACCTCCCCTTATTACACTATATTTTAAATGTGTTCTATATACATCTTCAGATTTTGTTTTTTGTTTTTGTGTTTAGGGTTCTCATCTACTAACAGGACCTACAGTTTCAAATAAAGGACATAGCAGTCAGTTCACTTTAGCTCTTAACTCTTTACTGAGCTCCATACCAACATTTATATATAATTTCAGGACATGATGTTATTTGGTATATCCAGAATGGAACTCACTATCTTCTCTGTCCCTGTTAGTGGTACTACCATTTTCCAGTTGCCCAGATTTGAACCCTGGAATAATGCATGACTCTCTTTTTTTCATTTAAATCCAGTCAGGATTCTTATGTAGTATGTTGCAGGGCCTTTCATGTTTCCTACTTTTTACTTCCACTGCCACCATTCTAGTTTAGTTTTTCATTTATTCTAGCCTGGTTTATGTTCTCTTTTTCCCTTATCAGTCTCTTAGTTTCTGGACATTGGCATTTTTGAACAGTATAAACTAGTTATTTTGTAGTGTTTCTCAGTTTGTGTTTGTCTGACTTTCATCATGATTAGATACAGATTCTTTACTTTTGTTAGGGATGCAGCATAAGCAATGCTGTATTCTTCTCACTGCATCATAGCAGAAGGCATGTGTCTCCTTCCTGGTGCCTCTTGTTTGTACTCACTTGATTATTTGTCTGCCAGGTTTCTCCACTAAAAAGATACTATTTTACCCTTTCTAAGAATTAAGTATCACTGGAGACATAGTTGAGAATATGTAAATATCCTGTTACTCCTCAGATTGTTACACCCATTGGTTATCCATTGATGACTGCGTAAATCAGTTATTTTCTTAGTTGCCAATGATGGTTTTCTAATTCCATGTGTATCCTTAATTTCACAAAACCATGATTTGAACTTTCTGAATGTATGAAATGTATTAAATGTTTTGACAGACTTTTATGTGTGGTTTATAAGATAGATTTCTTATTTCAGCTAAGAGTTTTAAGTTAAGATAATAAATGTTTTAAGGACTTGACTGTGTGGATGTGTATATATATTTCTACTCTGGTGTATACATGGGAAATTTGAAATTATTTTAATTATGTAGATGGTTCTGATTGTTTCTAATAATAATGTATATAGATAGCTTGTTCTTATATGTTCTTTAACACACTGTGGAAGATTAAATTTTTAGAATCTAAGCATTCTGTGAAGACAAAAGAATGTAATGTAAGGAGCATTCAATACAAGTGTGGCCTGGCTGATAATACTCATTTAGTGTGGGAAAACATCTTCAAAAAAAGATTAGCAGCATTTTTCTTTGGAACCAGCTGGGAGTGGGGTGGGATGGGTTGAGAAGGGACCGAGCTTGTTCATAAAGTTTTAACTCCTTAAGACAATCCTCTGTCTTCTCAGTTCTAGCTCGGTGACTCATAGTAGGCTTAATAATAAGTGATGCCAACCCCTTGTGATGAATGTCAACAGTGTTAAACTAGAACTTCCCCTGATTACTTATAGGTCCAACTCGCTGGAACAAGTTTACAGGCTGCTGCTCAGTCTTTAAATGTACAGGTAAGTTGGGACCTGGAATTATGGGTCAATCTTTTTTTTTTTTATTATTTTTATTTTTCTAATTTTCTATAGTGAGCATATGTTTTATAATAGGAAATGCTTAGTATTACCTTTTAAAATTAGTGAATCTCATGAAGATTCAAATAATAATTATTGCCATTAATGAAAATCAGTTTTATATTCTGCTACTGTATGAACCAAAGATGGACAGGAAAAGTCTACTTTCAAAGTTTTATGTGTAAGTTCAGTAAATATGTTTCTAAATTATACTGCTATACCTAAATACACAGCATAAAAGTTCTCTTAAATGCCCATTTGTTTCCCAAAGGCTTGTTCTTTGTCATTTTTGAAGTCTTAGGGAGACCTCATAGGGCAGAGGAAAGAACACTGGGCTGAGACACAAGGGTCTTAGGTTTGCATTCTCATTCTGCCACTGACCAACTGTGTGACCGTTGGCAAGTCACTTAACCTCCTTAGGCTCAGTTTTTCTCATCTATACTTAAGTGGGGACATTTATAAGATTGCCAGCGTTCCTTTCCACCCTGAAATGTTACGTTTCTAATAATTATAATTAAACCTGTTTGTAGATATTGGAAGATAGACAGTCAAAATGTTAAAATAAAACTTAAATCTGGCCACTTTCCTTTTTTGAACCATGTGGCAAAACATGACAAAGTTCAAGTGTTAGGCATTACTCTCTAAAATTTCAGTCAACCTGCTGCTTCCTTTCATTGTAATGTTTAGGTAACCAGCAGTCAAGAGGGAAAGACGGTATTATGGAAGATTTATTTCAGTGTTGCTAATGACTAAAGACCTTGGGTTGAGCATTTCATGAAACCCAGTTGAATATGGACCTAGTAACACCTGGGAACAAGGAAAGAAAAGAAAAAGAGATAATGTGACCTTACTTTCTGAGGGAGAGGCGGCGGAAAATTGCCTTGGTTGCCATGGTAAACTTTCATCCCTTAGAGAAATGTTGGCAAACAGGCTGTATCTCCAGTGCAGAATGTTTACAGTGCTGCACTGTAATTATCTCTCAATGACTGGCAGAATTAATCAGAGCATTTATGTTAATTAGCCTTGCTGCAGTCCCTAAAACAGGTGGTGGGAAATATGCAAATCTATGCAGAATTTTAATGCTCTGCATAGCCAGTTTTAATTACCATAAAATTTTTTCTTCGTGCCCCTCCCTCTTGACTGCAGCATTTTCTCTCTGAGCTTGTATGTTAGTTGATGGGAGTTGCTAGATTTATCGTTCTGTAAAATATTAGATGGAAAGTTCTGTGAATCAAGTGATTTTTCTCTGAGATGTTACATGGAGAAGTTTCAGACTAACCACCAGGTGTATGTTAAAATGTTGGTATGGAAGGTCTAATGTAGAGATGAATGGAAAATGTATTCTTCCCTTTACCCCCTATTTCTAGAGTTGAGGAACTGGGGGCTATAACTAAAAAATCTTTTACTTTGTTGGGGATGACTGAGTATTTCTCTTTAAAAATTGTAATAGCTTTGTCAGCACTGGAATAAAAAAATCTAAAAACTCAGTATGTGAAACTAGGAAGATACAAAGAAAGGAGGGAAACCAGAACTCATGACTGAATAAGCCCGTGTTTTAAATGATTCCTAAAAGATGGGGTTTTAAGTACATTTCTTTTAATCAACTGTTTGCAATCTTTTATTTCCCACCCCACCCCACCTCAGTCTAAATCTAATGAAGAATCGGGGGATTCACAGCAGCCAAGCCAGCCTTCCCAGCAGCCTTCAGTGCAGGCAGCCATTCCCCAAACCCAGCTTATGCTAGCTGGAGGACAGATAACTGGGGTAAGTGTTCACTGAGAGAATTATAATAAAGTTGGTCTGTGTCAGAACTGCCATTGGCCAATGTCTGATTAGAATTGTTTACCGTAGCTGGCAGTAATATGGCTGTGCCTGGCACTGTTGTGTCTTTAAGGAACTTCCTACACTGTAGGTCGTAAGTTGCTCTAAAAAAGGAATTATCGTTGTTAGAAGTTTTCAGGATATCTTTTATGAGAATTGTGGATGCTTTGGATAAATTAAAAACTTTATTAAACTCCCGTTTCATGTGTTGCTTCATCATGCAGTGGGATAATTATCGTATAGCTGAGATCATCAAACTGATAAAATGGCAGTTGTCTGTTTGGCGTTAAGACATCACTGCAGGGTAGAAGTTAAAGAATGGATTAGGCCTGCAAAAGAAAAACATTTTTCTTTAAGTTACTTTGTAGTAGTCTAAAATAAAACGTGGTGGCTTCATGTCCTAGCTCTGCAACTTACCGTATGGCCCAATTACTTCATTTCCCTCCACCTCAGTTTTCCTTGTATTAAATGGCAATGCTAATAATACCATTACTGTTGTAAAGATTGGAGATAATACATACAAAGCTTACAGAACAGTGCTTGGCATGTAGCGTTCAACAAATGTTCTTTTTTTTTTGAGATGGAGTTTCTCTCTTGTTGCCCAGGCTGGAGTGCAATGGTGCAATCTCGGCTCACTGCAACCTCCACCTCCCGGGTTCAAGTGATTCTTCTCCCTTAGCCTACCAGGTAGCTGTGATTACAAGCACACGCCACCACACCCAGCTAATTTTGTATTTTTAGTAGAGATGAGGTTTCTCCATGTTGATTAGGCTGGTCTCCAACTCCTGACATCAGATGAACTGCCCACCTAGGCCTCCCAAAGTGCTGGGATTGTAGGTGTGAGCCACTGTGCCCAGTGGCTTATACTTTATTTTAAATACTTGATCTTAACCAAAAGGCTAAGAAGGTCTGTCATTTATTTTTTATTGTTAATAAATTGGCCTGTATGACTATATTAAGCTTTTAAGTTTTCAGCTGTCTTTTCTCTAAGGGTACCATTCACAATATTTTTCCAATGTTTAAAATTTGTATATTAAATTATCTTTGTGGGGATTGGTTTAGGACAATATAAGAAATAGTTATTATTCAATTCACATCATATTAACTCCCAAGAATTTTCTGGGTATGTTGTTGCTTTTTTGTTTTTTGTTTTTTCATTTCAGTTAAGTGTGTTTTGTCAGTGGACAACTGTTTTAAGAACTGTTGCAAAATTATTTACAAAATCCCATCAGTAGAGATGTATGTATATACATGTATATTATATAAAAATTAAAAAATGTATCTATACTTCATATACACACATATCCCTTGAAAGGGTATTGAGTTTTTGAAGGGTTTGGTTTTGAGCCTGATGTTTCTAATGCACAAATTGTGTTTGATTCTTTTGGAGGAGGTAGGGGCACTAAGTGACTGTACATGTACTTCAGAAGATTACAGTTCCATCTTGTTTGATCAATCAGAATGTGTCACCAAAAGAAAAGTAGAACACACTTACTACTTTAAGTGTGTTTGAAATAAGTTGCATTATGAAAGCAAGTTAACATATGCTGTAAATACATCTACTTTACTTTTTTAGGTCTCGTTTTTGGTGACTAGTGTCTACAATAGTAAGAGGCACTTGGGATTGTAGGTTCTTGTGCCTGGAGCATCTATTAAACCTGGGCATTAGGGTTCATTTGCATGTAAAGAGAGCAGCAGTCACCACCTGTTTCATAGAGATAATGTGTTGGAAAGGAGATGTGAAGTTGCAGAGACTCAGTGCTTTCAGTAACAGAAAAGATTGTGTTAGGGAGGGGCCTGTAGGGAGACTTGGAAAAGAAACAAATGGAGCTCATATTCTTTAGTGATATCTTTGGATGTATTGGAAATGATGGAATATGGCAGGGATTCATGCTAATGGGAAGCAGCTGGGCCTTATCACTTCTTTCCTAGGTTATATCCAGAATCCTTGTTCCTCATTAATCTGACTAATCACTTGCTGTTCGGTTGGGTGTAAATTTCTTTTCATATCCTGTCAGCAGTGATTTTTTTTTTTTCTTACGTACTAGTTAATTACTTTTTTGCCCAAACCCTAGGGTCCTGGACAAGCTTGAATGATTAAGTCCAGACTGGGGACTACCATTTTAACTTAAATGTTCTGCTAGTAGTAGTAGTTTGATCACTGATGAACATTTTAGCTGTATACTAAGCATGTGAAGTTGGGTAGCTGGGGACTAATATCATTTGAGTTACCTATTTCAAAGCAGTTGGCTTGCATTAGGAGACTTTCTCCTTCAACCCTTTCCCATTATGTGTTCTGATTTTGTTTAGCTTACTTTGACGCCCGCCCAGCAACAGTTACTACTCCAGCAGGCACAGGCACAGGCACAGCTGCTGGCCGCTGCAGTACAGCAGCACTCTGCCAGCCAGCAGCATAGCGCTGCTGGGGCCACCATCTCCGCCTCTGCTGCCACACCCATGACGCAGATCCCCCTGTCTCAGCCCATACAGATCGCACAGGTGAGTGAGGAACTCTAGTAGCTGGGGCAGCAAGTGAGGAATAAAGTGGCAGGTTTTATGTAATGTTAAATTAACTTTTTAATTGTTAGTTTGGGGTCGTCAAGGCCTGAGGAGCTCTAGATCAGTGAGGTAAGCAGTACCCTTCCTTACCACTGAATTAGAAATAATGTTTGTTTGCTTATTTGAGTTGATATTATAAACATATAGCTGATTATTTGAATAACTGACTATATTAAGGGACAATTCTTGAATAATTAGCTGGCATATTTTTGAAGCAGGGGATTACTGTATTTATTTTAATTAGCTAATTACAGCAGACATGGATTTTTTTCATGTGCTCTGCAGTGAATGTTGCCACCCATGTGTGAGAAAGACAGTGAGTCATCTCTGCTTCAGAGTGATTAGCATTATGCCAAACATTATTGCATTAGAATGTTGTTTGGATTCAGTTTTCACATTTTAGGCCAGAGTATCTAGAGATAATAAAAATTTATTCAAGAAGTATACACAGTAGTACCAAGGAGGGAAATAAATAAAATCCTTTATCTCAAGAAGAGGAAAAAGGTATAAGTAGTTATATCAGTAAAATATGTGAAGAGTTATTTTGAGTCAAATTGTTTGACAGCTGTCTTTATCCCCCTCAGAAAAGACTCAGAAATGGATTTGTAGCAAGTTTTATTACCTATTTAAAAAGAACTAATTAACTATAAGAGTAGAGAATAGATATCAGATCAATCTTTATTATATATAATCTTTATCTTTAAAGATTATGTATATAAACAAATATATATTATATTATATTTATATATTTTATATAATAAATATATTATATATTATATTTTAAAATATATTTATATATAATGTATAATTTATATGTATAAATATATAATTTATATGTATAAATATATATATTAATATATGTATAATTTATATGTATAAATATAATCTTTAATAAAAGATAATATTTTTATTTTGGCCACTTTCTCATCACCAAATAAATGTTTTTAGTGCCTAAGCTGTGAGACCCTATGTTAACATTAGTCTAAATAAGATAACATGCATGAAAACACTTTGAAAATTATAAAACAATAGGCCAATGTAAGGTGCTATTGTTGTTATGAATCACATATTTATTTGGATAGCTATTTTTTGTTTTAAAAAATTGAATACCTTAGAACATGTGGAAAGGGGCAAAAAAATTGAATACTGATTTCTCAGTTGAGTTAGACAAGCTGTTGTCAAATGTCAGATCATTATAGGTCCTTTAATTTATTTTATTATTTAATTAAATAATTTATTTAATTCAGATATAACGCTCTCAAGTTTTGGTTAAGAGAAAAATCAATCAGATATTTAAAAAGTCTTTTCTCACTTGATTTTAAGACCCATATTGGTCTCTACATGATAAAAAACAGAAGTATATTTGTTCTGAGGGAATTTTAAAGAATCATTGAAAATTAGGCTTAGTATAATAATATATGTCAGTTCACAAAAATAGTAAGTTACAGAAGCTCCAGGTTGCTTCACATGCTGTGTCAGCACACATAGAGCATGTCCTGTTTGGAATATGAAAGCATGCTAAGTAAGTATTTATTCTTCTTTGTTTGTATGTGGTAGAATTCATCAACTGGAAGCCTTATAATTAAGCAAACTTTTATTTCAGAATCTCCAATCCATGTTTTAATTTCCATTTTTCAGGATCTTCAACAACTGCAACAGCTTCAACAGCAGAATCTCAACCTGCAACAGTTTGTGTTGGTGCATCCAACCACCAATTTGCAGCCAGCGCAGTTTATCATCTCACAGACGCCCCAGGGCCAGCAGGGTAAGCTCCTCCTTAGAGCTTATTAGTGGTATACCAAAGCTGTTCACTGAATGTGACACATGCATGGACTACTATCATTTTGGGCCTGAAACTGTCTGTTAGAACAATATTTTAATTGCATTTTATTGTCTTATAAACTTTTGTTTAAAAAATTTTTTTTGTTGTTATAAATACCACAATATTGAAGGTTGCCCTGAACTGCCATTCATCTGCTTAATCATTAAGGAAGATTCAAGAGTTTGGCCAAAAGTCAAAGTGAAATTATTCAACATGCTAAACATAAATTGGATAAGTTGCTGCTAGTGTTTTGATTGGTTTTCATGGAAATGTATTCAAAGAATATAGGCTATTGAAAGTATGTGCGTCTAGCCATGGTGTTTTAAATTTAAGGAGGAAAAAATTTTATATTAGAAACTACAAATTTTGTGAGTTATAAAAAACATCTTTGAGTCCTTTGAGTGGTAAAGCTATTATCTAATTAATGTATCAAGCCACCCGTGTTTAAGGTCGGTGTCAGAATATCAGCGCTTCAATCCAAGGAACATTAGTGCATCTCTGTCAATTCTTTATTATTTCTGAGTGGGGTTTTTTGCCTTTTTTCTTCTTGATCATTAATTCCAAAATCTTTCATCATGAAATAATTATTCTAGCATATGTTCAAGATTCAAAGATGAGTAATTCAGTTTTTACCTTCAGAGAACTCACAATTTAGTGGCAGGGAAACAGACCCCTGTTATAAGTGTTAGACTTGATATGCACAGATTGCTATGGGAACCAAGCAAAGAGACCCCTGTACCTTTGTGTTCAGATAAGTCTTCACAGTGAATTTGGGAGAATGCATTCACAGTCTTATAAAAGAGAGAATGTCAGTCTTGGAAAATGAACAGCATTTGCAAAGCTTAGAAACATGGAAGAAAAATCAATAAACTGCGTTTCAGAACTATAAGCAGTGCCTTACAACTGCAGAATAAATTTGCACATACAGGTAATAGTTAAATTTGAGCCCAGAAAGATTAGCAGAGACCAGAGCATTAAAGAACCTTAGATTAAGTTTCCAGATTTTGACCTTAACTCCTGTAGCTTAGTGCTTCCTGAGGTTTGATTTATTTAAGAATCACTTGAGGAATTAGAAAAGTTTCCTGAGCCCTAACCCCAACCCCCCCATTATTTTTATTTCTATTTTCAAACATTTAGGTTCAGGGTTGCACATGCAGGTTTGTTATGTAGGTAAATTAAATGTCATAGGGATTTGGTGTACGGATTGTTTCATCACTCAGGTAATAAGCATAATACCTGATAGGTAGCTTTTTCATCCTCACCCTCCTCCCACCCTCTACCCTCAAGTAGGCCCTGGTGGCTGTTGTTCCCTTCTTTGTGTCCCTATGTACACAAGGTTTTATGGGAGTATAGTATTCCATTGTATATATGTACTACATTTTTAAAATCCAGTCTACTGTTGATGGACATTTAGGTTAATTCCATGTCTTTGCTATTGTGAATAGTGCTGCAGGGAACATACACATGGGTATGTGTCTTTATGGTAGAAAAATTTATATTTGTTTTGATATATACCCAATAATGGGATTGCTGTATCAAATGATAATTCTGTGTTCTTTGAAAAATGGCCAAACTACTTTCCATATGGCTTAACTAATTTACATACCTACCATTAGTGTATACCTAGTCTCTTTTCTCCACAATCTCACCAACATGTTATTTTTTTAGGGTTTTTTTTTTTTTGAGAGACAGAGTTTTGCTCTTGTTCCCCAGGTTGCAGTACAATGGTACGATCTTGGCTCACTACAACCTCCACCTCCCAGGTTCAAGCGAGTCTCCTGCCTCAGCCTCCGGAGTAGCTGGGATTACAGGCATAAACTACCACACCCAGCTGATTTTGCATTTTTAGTAGAGACAGGGTTTCTCCATGTTGGTCAGTCTGGTCTTGGCCTCCCAGAGTGCTGGGATTACAGGTGTGAGCCACCACTCATGACCTTGAGTTTTTAATAATAGGCATTCTGACTGGTGTGAGATGGTATTTCATTGTGGTTTTGATTTGCATTTCTCTAATGATTAGTGATGTTGAGCATTTTTTCATATACTTGCTGGCTGCATGTATGTCTTCTTTTAAAAAGTGTCTGTTCATGTCCTTTGCCCCACTTGCTAATGGGGTTGTTTTTTGTTGTAAATTTGTTTAAGTTCCTTATAGATTCTGGATATTAGACCTTTGTTGGATGCATAGTTTGCAGATATTTTCTCCCATTCTGTAGGTAGTTTCTTTTGCTGTGCAGAAGCTCTTTAGTTTAATTAGATCCCATTTGTTAACTTTTGTTTTTGTCGCATTGCTTTTGGTGTCTTCATCATGAAATCTTTGCCAGGTCCTGTGTCCAGAATGATATTTCCTAGGTTATTTTCCAGAGTATTTATAGTTTGAGATTTCATGCTTAAGTCTTTAATCCATCTTGAGTTGATTTTTGTATTCATGTAAGGAAGTGGTTCAGTTTCAATCTTTTGCATACGACTGCCGGTTATCCCAGCACCATTTGTTAAATACAGAGTCCTTTCCCCATTGCTTTTGTCTACTTTATTGAAGATCAGATGCCAACCACCAAATTTTAATGAACAGTTTGTTGATTTTTTTTTTTTTTTTTTTTTGAGGCAGAGTCTTGCTCTGTCACCCAGGCTGGAATGCAGTGGGACAATCATGGCTTACTGCAGCCTCAACCTCTTGGGATCAAGCAGTCCTCCCACCTTAGCCTTCAAAGTAGCTGGGACTACAGTGTGCACCACTGTACCTGGCTAATTTTTTTTAAAAATGTTTTTTGTAGAGACACCATCTTGCTATGGTTGCCCAGGTTGGTCTTGAATTCCTGGGCTCAAGTGATCCTCTTGCATCAGCCTCCCAAAGTGCTGGGATTATAGGCATGAGCCACTGAACCCCGATTCACTTTGAGGAGTCTAATATGAATGGCCCAATATCTTCCAATAAGAAAGTCTTATATAAACTCTACTAAACCACAGATTTAAGCAGAAAAGTGCATTTTCAAGTTTGTATTTAATAAAGTTCATGTTGAAACTTGGGTAGAAAAAGTTGGTAAATAAGTAGGTAGATGGACAGGACCTGGTGGCCAGTTTTATTTAATTAATGGTAGGAAAGAGATATCTAGGTATAATGCCTGGGTTTTTAGGGAACTATGAGGGTTGATAGGATCAAACAGAGAAAATATGTATGTAGTATTAGAAGAGCCTTGGTGAAACCAACCCTTTAGGTGTAGAGGAATAAGTAGATTCAGAAGATACTGCATTTTCAGAAGTCAAAAACTAGTGGAGAGTGGTAATCACAATGGAAGAAAATTCCAAGAGGGAAGGAGTAAGTGACCTAGGTCAGAAAGACTTAGGAAGGTCAATACTAAGTGTGCTTATTGGATTTTTTCATTGTTAAGATTGAATGAGATTGCTTTCATTTACTTTCAGCAAACCCAAGGGCATTGTCTTTCCCTTTTCAAATCTGGGACCTCATTTTATTTCTATTTTATTTGTCTCAAATTAAGATAGTAGGAATAATGAATGACTGTTCATTATGATTTTTTTGGTATTTGCAAAGGTTTGTGTATGTTTTTAAACCCTCCCCCAGCTTTCAGACTTTTTTATAAGACTGGGAAAATAACACAGATAATGTAATACTGATTGGCCTTAGAGCCAGTGACCCTGGGCAGTTCACCTAACTTCCTGAGTTTCACGTATTTCCCTTTTTATCTTCCCCTTCACATTAATGGGTGAATTACAAAAAATGTTTTACTGCCCTAACCTCAGGAAGGTCATTGTAATGTAGTAGTTATGAGCATGAACTTTAAAGCCAAACTACCTCTTTGTGAATCTTGGCTCTGTCACTTATCTGTGCATCTTTGGGAAAATTAACTTTCTGGGTGCCTGTTTCCTCATCTGTTATATGAGCTACTTTCAGTATTCACCTCAAAGAGTTGTAAGGATTCAATGAGTAAGCACATGTAAAGCACATTTTAGAAAGGTGCCTCATACTTAGTAACCTCTCTAAATCTTTGCCACTGTTATCGTTATGACATTATTGTGATATCAGTATCATCATCAGTCAACAAATGATAGATAACTCAGAAAATGAAAAGGTTGTTCCTTTATGTAGTTTCCATAGAATCACTTTGTACCACTGCTGCTGAGTTGTAATCATTTGTTAGTCATATATGACCTAGATTCCATTTTCCAAGATTATTCAACAATGTAGAGGATCAGAGTAGTAGAAATACGTCTGTAAACATTTCTAGGAATGGAATTCATTGTAATAAATAGCATCAGAGAAGCTGAAAATCTAAAGAGCTAATCTCTTAACTTTACGATGGAGGACAAAGCTTTGGTATTTTGGAATTTTAATAATGTTTCCAGCATGAGATTAGCCTTTAATATTGATTTCTTTTTTCTTTTTCTTTCCTTTTTTTTTTTTTTTTTGAGACAGTCTTGCCCTGCACCCAGGCTGGAGTGAGTGCAGTGGCGCAGTCTTGGCTCACTGCAACCTCCACCTCCTGGGTTCAGGTGATCCTCCTGCCTCAGCCTCCCGAGTAACTGGGACTACAGGCATGTGCCACCATGCCTGGCTAATTTTTTGTATGTTTAGTAGAGACAGGGTTTCACTATGTTAGCTGGGATGGTCTGTATCTCCTGACCTGATGATCTGCCTGCCTCAGCCTCCCAAAGTGCTGGGATTATAGACATGAGCCACCAAACATCACCAAGCATGGTTTTAAAAAAGTTCTAAATCTCTGGACCTTTTCAGCCTTTTCAGCTGAACCTTGTTTGGGAGTAAAACCTAAGGTTTGAATTTGCTCATGTAATATACTACAAGAAACCAAAATTAATCTTTAGAATTATAATTGCTGATTAATAGGAATCAGAATCATTTTTTAAATATCTGCTTTTGTCTCTTACAGATAAATAAACTAACTTTGATTGTTTAAAGAAACTGCTATGTTGAAATAGCCTATGTTTAATAATGGGACCTCATTTCTGACCTTTCTGCTCCTCTCTTCTCTTTCTTTTTTTTTTGAGACGGAGTCTCATTTTTTCATCCAGGCTGTAGTGCAGTGGCATGATCTCGTCTCACCATAACCTCCACCTCCCGGGTTCAGGCAATTCTCTTGCCTCAGCCTCCTGAGTAGCTGAGATAACAGGTGTGTGTCACCACACCTGGCTGATTTTTGTATTTTTAATAGAGGTGGGGTTTCACCATGTTAGCCAGGCTGGTCTTGAACTCCTGACCTCAAGCAATCTTTCTGCTTCAGCCTACCAAAGTGCTGGGATTACAGGCGTGAGCCACTGCACCTGACCTTCTCTTTCATTTTTTTATTATTGTTTTTGAATATTCTTTAGTCCTCAGCCTTTTCAAAATAATTTTATTCGTTTTAATCTTTAACATAAAATATAGTTGTATTTTTCTCTCTAGACTACCCTTCAGTATTTTTCAAACCAGTAAAATTTGACATTTTAATTAATTCACTCAAAAATTAGTTGAGTGCCTGCTGTGTCATATAGTGCTCTAACAGGGATATATTTCAAACAAGATGTAGGCCCTGCCCTCATTAAGAGACATCAAATAGTAAATATTTAAACAAGTTGTTTAGATACCAATAAGTACTAAGCAGTTTAGCAGATCATAGTAATCTGGTAACAGCCTAAAAGAATGGGCCTATGGTCTGGAAAAGCCTCTCTGGAGAAGCAATATGTGAACTGGGAACTGAGGGATGAGGAGCAGGTTACCATGCCTAGAATCTTGAGTGAAGAATCTTGTAGGCAAAGGAATGTAAAACACCTGAGATGGGAACAAGCTTGACCTAATCCGGGAAAAGAAAAGCCAAAGTAGCTGAGTTCAGTGAGTCAAAGGAAGTGGTAGGAGATGAGATGTGAGGGCTAGACAGGGCCAGATTGCCTAGGGCTGTGTAGATTTTATTCCAATTCTAATATAATTGGGAAATGATATGATCATAAAGATCACCGTAACTATTATATGGAGATTGAACTATAGGGAGACACTTGGGGAAGCCAACTTCCATAAATTGGCCTTTTAGGAAATGTTTGTAGTAATATATACTGAAATTTATTTAACATATTTGCTTCCATATATATTTCACTTGCCTCAGATCAACTAAAATCAGAGTTCTCCAGAAAAATTCAAATCTATGTAATATATTTATCTTATTTGTGACCTACGTTATGAAATAACTATTAGTACCTTTTGATAGCTTAAAATTAGGCAGTGCTTAGTTACTTATAAATAAATGATAAATTCTATGGCTAATCTCTGGTAGGCTTAAGTGTTTTGGCTGTTGTCCTACATATTTCAACATCCAATGTATCCAAACTTAGTAGCCTAAGGAAATCATGATTAGGAAGCTGTTGCCTCAGATAATCTTATCACTTGTCCAAGAGAAAATGGTAAAATCCCTTTTGTTTGGTGTGCTTTAATACTTTCTACAGTTGCTCTTATCACAGCACACATAATCCTGTATTAGCAGGTATTTTAGCAATAGCATTTTATCTGTAACTAGGTACTATAGATTAAATCTTTAAATACAGACAATCTGAGTTAGTCCTCTCCATCAGGTTCTGAAAATAAAAAACCGTATATTCAAGTAATTGAGCATCTTCTACAAACACATTGAGAATTTCCATTTCTACTTTGAATGTCAGTTGTCATCATGAAGCATTAGTGGCATTACTTATCAATGATTTTAAACTAAGACAGTTCAGTGTTGCTGCAGCTATTAGTAGAATATTTTGCATTTTAACTTTATTATCACCAATAGGCAAATGTTTGATAAAGAGAACTTGAAAATGCTTTTTTTTTCCTCTGGTTCAACATATACGGGCAGTTTCTAATGGATTCTAGGTTAAGAAGTTGAGCTCTTTTTGAAATTTCCAGCTGTTTCTATTTAGAATAGTTTTTTGGTTTCTTTTTTTTTTCTTTTCTTTTTTTACTTTCGTTCCACTCTTCCCTAACATAAAGAATTGTCCTATCACAGAGCTTATTCAGATTATGCTAAAGACATATCAGTTTTAATTTAATGTTCCGTGTCTTCTGTCCCAAGTTGTAAAACAAGATTGAATGTAAGGCAAATAAGATCAGCAAGAGTTTTGATACAAGTAAGATTACCAGAGATCAACTGGAAATTTCCAGCTCATTTTCTTACTCTTTCCTTCTTTTGCCACGTGTTCAAAGAAATCTTGACTGTTTTTGGCATAACGTGTTTTCCTTCTATAGGTCTCCTGCAAGCGCAAAATCTTCTAACGCAACTACCTCAGCAAAGCCAAGCCAACCTCCTACAGTCGCAGCCAAGCATCACCCTCACCTCCCAGGTCAGTTTTCTTCTATGGGGGTTGCTTTCTCTTATCATATTGTTTGGGGAGACTTCTGGACTTTATTTAATCTTTTAAAACAATCTAATAAAAATAATTCAGTCTTTGAAAACTAACCAGAAAATCAAAGCTAGGCTTATCAGCTCAATAAAGCAATACTACCAAATCAATATAGTCTGTGAAAATCTTCAGAGTTCCTGTTTTCTTATATGTTCATAAAGAGTTACTGTGTTAGCAGTAAATGAGTAATGAGTTGTAGCTATGTGACACCTCCCCCATCATACTTGTCAATAGATATTACCACTTAAACTGGAAACCTAGTTAGCTTCAGTTATAATTCATTGTTACCCTTATCTGCAAAGAAACTTTGATCTCTATATTTTCTTTTTTCTCCGTGCTTTGATGTTGCTTTAGCTCATTTCCACCAGACCATATAAACACTATAATTATATAAAAACAATCTTAGGCACCTGAGGTTTAAGTTTTAGTTCTGCTTCTTATATAGCTGTCGCTTTGAACATGTCATTTTACCTCTCTGGACCTCAGTCGTCTTATCTGTAGATTAGGCGACTGAACTGGCTGATCCTGAATCTCCTTCCAGCTCTGACTTTCTTTGTCTGCAGCATAGAAGTTATTACTTAATACTAACACATTACCGATTTGACAGAATTCAACATCCATTTATGATAAAAACTCTTGCAAGCTAGATATAGAAGGTAACTTTCTCAACCTGTTAAAGAGCATGTACCAAAAAAAAAACCCAACAGCATGCTTAATGAAAAACTGAATACTTTCCCTCTAAGATCATAAACAAGGCAAAATGACCAGTTGCCACTTTTACTCCACATTTTACTGAAGATGCTAGTAATGCAATAAGAAGGTGAAATATTAATAAATGACATATAGATTAGAAAGGAAGAAGAAAAACTATCTTAGTTGCTAGATGACATGATTGTCTGTCTATGTAGAAAATCCTAAGGAATCTATCAAGAAAACAAGCTACTGGAATAAGTAACTTTAGCAACTATGTTACAGTCAATATATAAAAATCATTTACATTTCTATATACTAGCAGTGAGCATTTGGAGATTGAAATTAAGAAAAAGAAATTTACAGTTCTTAGGGATACACTTAACAAAATATTTGTAAGGCCTATACATTGAAAACTGTAAAACATTGCTGCATGAAATTAAAGACTTGTAAAATAGAAAGCTGTAATATGTTCATAAATCAAAGACTTAAGTTGTTAAAAGTGTCAGTTTTTCCCAAATTGACCTCTAGATTCAACACAATCTAAACCAGCATCTAGCAGACTTTTTTGTAGAAATTTGCATACTGTTTCTAACATTTATATGGAACTGTAAGAAAACACAGAATAACCAAATGATTTTGAGGAGTAAGAAAGTTGAAAGACTACCTGATATCAAGAATAATTATAAAACTCCAGTAATGAAGACAGTGTAATACTGGCATATGGATAGAACTAGAGATCAGTGGAACAGAATAGAAGGTCCAATAGACAGACCCATGTGTACATGGCCAACTGATTTGCCAGAGATGCCAAAGGATTTCAGTGGGAAAAAGAAAGTTATTTCAAAAAATCCTGCTGAAACAATAGAAAAAAAAATCTTGACTATTATTTCACAACATATACAAAGATTTGTTTGATGGATCATAGACCTAACCTTAGAGAAACAGCTTAGGTAAAAAATCTTTGTGTCTTTGGGTGAGGCAAGGATTTCCTAAATAGGACACAAAAAGCACCATAAAAGAAAAACAGTTGATAAATTTAATTTCATGGAAATAAAAGCTTCTCTTCGAGCGAATGAAAAGAAAACCACAGACGGGGAGAACATATTTTTATGCAATATATCTGATGAAAGATTTGTATTCAGAATTTCTAAAGAACTCATACAACTCAGTAAGACAATTTGATTTAAGGGAATGGGTGGCAAAAGAATTGGAGATACTTCACCAAAGAAGATATGTAAATGTCCAACAGGCATATGAAAAGATGCTCAAAAACCATTAGTCATCAGGAAAATTTAAATAAAATATTACTACACGCTCACTAGAATAAGCAGAATTTAAAAGGCTATGACAAAACCAAGTGTTGGTAAGAAGGTAAAGCAGCTAGAGTTCTCATACATTGCTTAGTGGTGTTGCAAAATGGTACACACACTTTGGAAATTATTTCGTCAGTTTTTTTGGAGAGGTGATGGGGAGGCAAGGTCTTGCTCTGTCACCCAGGCTGGAGTACAGTGGCACAATCACAGCCCACTCTAGCAGCCTTGACCTCCCAAGCTCAAATGATCCTCCTGCATCAGCCTTCCAAGTAGCTGGGACTACAGGTGTGCACTATCATGCCCAGCTAATTTTTGTATTTATTGTAGTGATGGGGTTTTGCCATGTTGCCTAGGCTGGTCTTGAACTCCTGGGCTCAAGTGATCTGCCCGTCTTGGCCTCCCAAAGTGTTGAGATGACAGGCATGAGCCACCGCACTAAGTTGGCAGTTTCTTATAAAATTAAATGTATGTGTACCTTGTGACCCAGCAGTTTTATTCCGAGAAATGAAAGCATATGTCCACACAAAGACTTGTACGTGAATGTTTATAGCAGCTTTATTCACTTCAGACTGGAAACAACCTAAATACACATCAGCTGGTGAATAGGTAACACAAGCTTTAGTATATCCATATGATGGAATGCTACTTAGCAATAAAAAGAAACATGCCTCTCTGATACATGCAACTCCTTGGAATCTCAAAAGCATTATACTAAATGAAAGAAGACATAAAAGAGTGCATATAGTATGATTCAATGCACATGGCATTTTAGAAAAGACAAAACTGTAGGAATGGAAAACATATTAGTGATTACCAAGCACAGGGGGCTAATGGTGGGGATTAACTGCAGAGGGCACAAGGGAACTTTTGAGAGTAATGAGAATGTTCTGTATTTTAATTGTAGTAGCAGTTGTATGATGGTATGTAGTTGCCAGGACATAAACTGTGCCCTTTTAAATGGTGAATTTGTGAATATGCTGAATGCAAGAGTGAGGTTGGGGTTTTGCGAAAGGTCTGTACCAGACATTACTCCTTGGCCTGCATGCTCTGCATATGGTGGCAGGGCTGTTGTGGCTTCATCCTGACTCCTGCTCACTGAATTCTACTCTGCCGTTTCTAGATCTGGCCCAGTCCAGCCTGAGGTTTCTGGAGTTGGGGTAACTTATCTGTAACCACCCCATCTAAAGGTACCCAAGCTATTTTTAGTCCTTTATTATTTGAGAATGGGGCTACTTCAAGCCTGGAGATGAAGTAACAATATGATAGTTAGAGTCACCTCTACCTGTCAAGCAGTTGTGCTGTGAGAAGTGTATAGCCACATAGTCTAGTATGGTTGGTGCTGGTTTTGGGTCCTCCAAAATGGTCAGGTTGAATATTGTGCAGTGTCAGCATGACATAGAAATGAACTTTGTTGTTGTCATTGAAACAGGATGATAAGAGAGGAACTTAACTCCAGTTGTTGCCTGTGTAATGCTTATTCTGTAGTTTTCTGGGCCAGTGAGTTGCTTTGGAGGAATTCTTGACTCATGAGGTAAAGCTCATCTAAATTAGAAGAAAAATTCACAGCCACAGAGTTTATCTGTAATACTGGTTTATAATCGCTCACCTGGGCTACTGTTCACAGGAGGGATCAGCTGAGCAATTAAGATGCAGTCAAGGAGCACCTCCTGCTAGTGAGGTGTGTTCCACTCAGGGCTTGTGAAAAGAATAGAATAACCTTATGTTTGTGTGATAAGAAAATTGAGTATTTTATTTTTAAAAAGACTATACTCTGATGTCCAAAAATAAACTATACATGGATTTAAAGATTCAAATATTCAACAATACATAGAAGCAGCTAGCAGATTAAAAGGAATTTTATCAGTGTTAGAAATAAATGAAGCTTTCTCAGATTTGAAGTAATGGGATATATTAGAAAGGAAAATTAAAAGCTCACCCAAATGATAATTTAAAGCTTTATGTACACTGAAAAATAAAAAGGAAAAAAGCAAATTGGGAAAAGGATTTGCATTAATATGACAAAGCTTACTCTATAAAATTTGAGGATCTCTCTAAGGATAAGGATGAGAATAAGGGTATCATTAATATATAAATAGGTTAAGGACATAAATCCAATTCACATCCAAGGAAATACAGATAATAATTGACACATAAGAAAAATTTTGACAGTGAGTAGTAAGAGAAATACAAATTAAGGCATCAGGAAACTACGTTTACTTCTTGAATTAGCAAAACATTTTTTTAAACTGCTAACACAAGCCATGTGGAAGAATGTTGCAGAGCGGAAACCAACATTATGATATCAAAAGCCATGAAATTGTTTATTTAGTTAGACCAGAAAAGCCCTTGAGAGTTTATCTCAAAAGAACTAGTTATGCACATAGGTGGAAAAAATAACTAATGTGCATAAAGTTTTTTATTGTGTTATTGTCTATGTTCATGAAAACATAAATGAAAAACCTATAAGAATATTGCCTTAGTTTTTTAAAAGGATAATTATGAAGACTGAAATACCATAGAAAAAAGTTAAAAAACAATGTTAAGTGAGACAAGCAGAGTAAAATTATGTACACCATAATTATAGTAAAAGGTTTAAAAATGTAGGTCCTTGGGGAAAAAACCTGAAGAGATAAACAAAAGTGAAACTCGTTATAAGCTATTTAAGTTACAGGTGGTTTACTTTTCCCCTTAAAATAGTTTTAATGATCTTGAATACTATTTTTATAATACTGTGTCACAGGTTGGAGATGTGATACTGATAAACAAGACAGGCTCTCTACTGTTTTGACAGTTTAAGTGCCAGACTTAATGAAATAGATTTTCTTAAATAAAGAGTAATTTATTAAACGACATAAGATATAGGTATTCAGACCATTTGAAAACCCAGTTATAATAGATTTTATTTTTGTATATTCATGTTTTCTTCTATAGAATTACATGCTTAACCTTGTAATTACATTATACATAATTTCACCATCTGCTTTGCTCACTGAACTGTTGTACGTTCTGTAGTGTTACATGGTCTTCATAGTTCTCCATGAATATGGCTTTTTCCTTAAGTTGTTTAGTTGGAGTAAACCTAAATATCTCTTCACATGTTTGTCCTCATTGTTTCATTCTTTCTCCAACAGCCAGCAACCCCAACACGCACAATAGCAGCAACCCCAATTCAGACACTTCCACAGAGCCAGTCAACACCAAAGCGAATTGATACTCCCAGCTTGGAGGAGCCCAGTGACCTTGAGGAGCTTGAGCAGTTTGCCAAGACCTTCAAACAAAGACGAATCAAACTTGGATTCACTCAGGTAGGGTGAATTGGCCTTACATTGATTGCCCTCCTTGGCTGGGTTCAGCTACAGTTGGCTGGCTATATTCATGGAGTTAACATCCGTGGATTCAACCAATCCAAAATATTTGGGGTAAGGGGTGCAAAAAAGGATGGTCATGTTTGTACTGAACTTGTATAGACTTTTTTTCTTGCCATTATTTCCTGAAGAATACAACAACGATTTACATAGCATTTACATTATATTAAGTATCATAGGTAACTTAGAGATGATTTAAAGTATATGAGAGGATACATGTATGTTAAATACAAATATGCATTTTATAATTTCGAGGACTTGAGCATCAGTTGATTCTGGTATCCAAGGGAGGTCCCAAAACCAATCTCCTGTGCATGCCGAGGGACACAACTGTATTTGCTTTATATGTCCAAAGAGGCTTCTAAGGAACAATGTGTTACTCAGACATGTTTTTTGGTTTTAAACTGTACCTTTTTGTTAGCCTTTTCCTGCATTTTTAACATGGTTTAATATTAGTCTAGAAGCTTTATGGTTCCTTTCAGAACACAGGCCTCTGAAATCATAATATATTAGTAAATTATGAGAGTTTAAGAGATTGTGTTGGAGATATTTTTACTATACTGAGGATTTTGTTATTTGAAGAATATCTGGCAGTAGACCTTAGTGCTATGTATGTAAGATTGAGAGAGCAAAGATTACAGGGTGTATTATAGTAGCTAAAAGGGGAAACGTTTAGAAGGCTTGTTTAAAAATAGTTTTTTGTGGTAAATTGCAGTAGCTCACATCTATAATCCCAGCACTTTGGGAGGCTGAGGTGGGAGGATTGCTTGAGCTCAGGAGTTGGAGACCAGCCTGGCCTCTAGTGAGACCCTGTCTCTACAAAAAGTGAATAAATAAAAAATTTAACTGTAGTCCAAGCTATCAGGAGGCTGAGGTGGGAGGATTGCTTGAGCCCGAGAGGTCAAGGCTGCAGTGAGCCATGATTGCGCCATTGCACTCCAGCCTGAGTGACAGAGCAAGACACTGTCTCTAAAAAAATTAAAAATAAAAATAATGTTTTGGAAGAGAGGGGGTGATGGAGACATGCATGCAAGCACAGGAGAACACACTCTCTAAGCCTGTGCTGAAACCAGTTAAGAATCTCTAGAAAATGAAAACCCCAAATTAACCAAAATCCAAATTAATTTTCTGGAATCTGTCAGCTGAGTACTTTTAAAGTAAATGTATTTAATGACTTAAACAGTTGTCTGGATATATAGCATTTTTGTTTGTATTAAGTGCTACCATTGACTTACTCTTTGATTAACTGTCATTTTTTTGGGAGACATGGTCTCATTATGTTGGCCAGGTTGGTTTTGAACTCTTGGCCTCAAGCAATTCTCCCACCTTGGCCTCCCAAAGTGCTGCAATTACAGGTGTGAGCCACTGCGCCTATCCTGCAAATAATACTTTTAAACAGGCGAGGAATTAAACTGAATGGAATTTATTTATGTAAAATGGTATAAGATCATTAGGTAGAACAAAAAAAACAAGTATGGATTAATTGGGTGCTTTTATGGAATCAGGAAAAATCTGATGTTTTCTTTCCAGGGAATATAGTTACCATTTGAAGTTTTGTTTTGTTTTGTTTTTTTGAAACAGTTTCGCTCTTGCTGCCCAGGCTGGAGTGCAATGGCACGATCTCGGCTCACCACAACCTCCACCTCCCGTGTTCAAGCAATTCTCCTACCTCAGCCTCCTGAGTAGCTGGGATTACAGGCATGAGCCACCATGCCCAGCTAATTTTGTATTTTTAGTAGAGATGGGGTTTCTCCATGTTGGTCAGGCTGGTCTCGAACTTCCAGCCTCAGGAGATACGCCCACCTCAGCCTCCCAAAGTGCTGGGATTACAGGCGTGAGCTACCACTCCTGGCCTACTATTTGAAGTTTTTAAGCCACTGTTCAAATATTATTCAAATTATTTTGTGTTGAAAGTACAGTAATGCCCCACCTGGCCTGGTAGGTCAAAATCTGAGGGATACCATCCCTACATGTATTAAGGGATGGGTGGGTGTTTTTATGAACATATATATATATATATGTTATATAAAAAAGATACATATGTATCTTTTTTTCCTTTTTGAGACAGGGTAATGGTCTGTCACCCAGGCTGAGACCTCCAGGGCTCAAGGGATTCTCCCACTTCTGTCTCCTGAGCAGCTGGAACTACAGGCATACCACCACATCCAGCTAATTTTTGTATTTTTTGTAGAGATGAGGTCTTGTCATATTGCCTAGCTGGTCTCGAACGCCTGGGCCCAAGAAAATCTGCCCACATCAGCTTCTTAAAATGTTGAGATTACAGGTGTAAGCTACCATGCCCAGCCCATACTTATATTTCTTTGGGAATTCATTTTTGCTCAAGGAAATGAATTGTATTGGGGAATATAAAATGATTTTTAAAATAGGCATGATTTTAGAGGAAATACAGTTACATTTGTGAGAAGTTTCACTTATTAAGAAACAAATTATCCAGAAACATTTTAATACTGTCATTTAAGCATCTTAAATGATCTGACTTGTTTTAAAAAGAAAACTAGGCTGGGTGTGGTGGCTCACACCTGTAATCCCAGCACTTTGGGAGGCTGAGGTGAGTGGATCACCTGAGGTCAGGAGTTCAAGACCTCAGGAGTTTAAGACCCTGGCCAACATGGCGAAACCCCATCTCTTCTAAAAGTACAAAAATTAGCCAGGTGTGGTGGCAGGCACCTATAATCTTAGCTACTCGGAAGGCTGAGGCAGGGAGAATTGCTTGAACCTGGGAGGCAGAGGTTGCAGTGAGCCGAGATCGCACCACTGCACTTTCAGCCTGGGCGACAGAGCAAGACTCCATCTCAAAAAAAAAAAAAAAAGAAAAAAGCTAAACATAAAACTAGATCGATAGCAGTGCCTCAAGTTTTAAGCTTTTAGCGAAGCATACTCTTAGGTTCTCCAAGAGATTGTTGCCTAAGTGATATGCCAAAGATGTTAAGGCTTTTAAAAATCTTTAACTTTTACTGAAATAGTGGTTTGCCTTTTTGTGGCATCTGACTCAGTATTATTGCCAGTGTTATGTTTTTCTCCCCCTCTGCACATCCCTCCAGGTAAAGGAGCTTCCTTATGGTCTCGTGTTTTGTTTTATGGTTTTATCCTATTTTTTGGCCTGACCATTCCTTATTTTTTTAAATGACTTCGACATGACAGGGCAATGGTTCACAAACTTGGACTATGTGGGTTAAAGTACATACTACTGCTGCAGAATGGAAAATCAGTCTATCAACCTCTGTTTTTAAGTCAGATACTACTTCAGTTTTAGTTACTCAAAGGTTGTTCTGTGTCCAACTAATTTGTATACACACACAAAGAGAAAGTTTTAGCAGTCAGGTTATTTGCTGAAACAAATCCCTATTCTCTGATTAAATATACATATTATATGTTTTAAACAGTTACTTTCTAATTATGTAATTGCTTATTAAAGGATTATTATGGATGTCTTTGCACAATTAAAAAGCATATCATAGTATAATACATTTATCATATGTGGTACATTCATTATTTCCCAGCCCCAGTCTTTGTTTCTTTTTTGTTTTGCTCTTTTTAAAAATATCAAAGGGTTTTAATATAGTTAAGATCATAATGAATCGACTGTTTAAAACGTTTACTTTTGTGAGTGATAACCCAAGATGGTTGTGAATTGGGTTATCACTAAAGAGCACTAAACCAAGCCTGTACCAAATTAATGAAAATTAGTATGTTAACTGAGGAGCCTGTTGCTTTTTATTTAATCAAACAGTTTAAATGCGAAATAAAATATATTGTTAATAAATGATAAACTCACTTTATCATGGTTCTAGTTAGTGGCATAGCTTTATTTCCAGCCACCACCTTTAGATATCATTTCTTATAATTACTGTCGTGATTTTTTTTTTAAATATATTTTTTATTTACTTATTTTTTTAGAAAGAGGGACTGTGTCGGCTCTGACTGGAATGCAGTGGCACAAAAATAAAGCTCACTGCAGCCTCAAACTTCTGGGGTCAAGTGATCTTCCCACCTTAGCCTCCCAAGTAGCTGGGACTGCTGGCACATGTACCACACCCAGCTAATTTTTTTTCTTTTTTTGGGGAGAGATGGGGTCTCTCATTAAAAAAAAAAAAAAAAAAGCTAAACATAAAACTACATTGATAGGAGTAAAACTAGATTGATAGGAGTAAGTCACAAAGCTGAAATAAGTATAAGGTTAGCATATTTAGCCTATTGCCCAGGCTGCAGATTTATTTTTTGCTTGTTAAACTGTTACTTTTATAATAAGATAGAAGTTTGTGAAAATCTGTAGCATACCGTGCAGTTACTATTCCAGAAAATGCCTGTTGCCATCTAACTGCTACATAAGTTCTCATATTCAAAGAATTGCAGGGTTAGTTGGCGCCAGCTCTAATCTAAACAAGATGACCATCACATGAATACATGTGATACCCAAAGCATAAGTTTAGTGCTTGACATATAGTAGGCACTTAGTGAATATCTGATTGACTGAAGTAATATATTTTATTTTATTTTGTTTTGTTTTATTTTATTTTTTTGAGATAGAATCTCATTCTGTTGCCCAGGCTGGAGTGCAGTAGCATGATCTTGGCTTAAGTGCAACCTCCGCCTCCCAGGTTTCAAGCAATTCTCCTGCATCAGCATCCTGAGTAGCTGGGATTACAGGGGTGCGCACCATGCCCAGCTAATTTTTGTGTTTTTAGTAGCGATGGGGTTGCACCATGTTGGCCAGGCTGGTCTCGAACTCTTGACCTCAAGTAATCCACCCACCTCAGCCTCCCAAAGTGCTAGGATTACAGGTGTGAGCCACCATGCCTGGCCTGAATGAAGTAACATTTGATAAATATATAGAGATATAGGTATAGATAAACATAGTCATCTATAGATATATTTGTGTACAGTATAGATGTGATGGATAGCATTTATGCCCTGCTCACCACTAATTCAGGTTCTTTCAGTTTCACTGTAATTGGAAGGAAATCAATAAGCAGTCTACCCTTCAGAACTGTCATTAAAACTTTCTGTGATGATGGGGTGTTCTGTATTTGTGTGGTCCAATACAATAGCCACTTTATACTTGTGGCTGTTGAGCATTTGGAAGGGCTGTGGTGCTGAGGAACTGAATTTATTGGATTTTAATTAATTTAAACTTAAATAGCCACATGTGGCTAGTGGCTATATGGGAATGCAGAGGATATCAATCAGTTGAAGTTCGGGTATTTTGTGTGCCTCATTTTATCTTATAGTTCCAACATGTCTCATCTGTTAAATTTTTTACCAGAAGTTGCTCACCAAAAAGAAAATGAGGTTTTAAAAATGTTATTTTCTTTTTAAACCAACTACCACCTAATGTAGGTTCTAATAAAAAATGTAGTATTCAAAAGATGGACTAGGGTGGGGGGAAATCAAAGGATTGGGATAATCCCAGTTCATAATAAGTGTTGCCAGAATAGTTGGCTATCTCATATTAGAATTAGTTGTATAGTACTTTGGACAAGAAATGATGCTGCTGTCAATAAACTAATTGGAGTGAATTGGTGAATGAATCATTTAAACTCTGAACTTCTGTTTCCTCTATATAAAATAACTGTTAAGATATGGCTTTTTTTTTTCAGCTTGAACAAGAGAGATTCAGCAAGAAGAAAAGCTCTGTATACATTTCAAAGGTTATAGGATTATAGAGAAAGACATCTTTTGTAATATATTCAGGGCATCATTGTTCTATTGCTATAAGGTTACCAAGTTTCCAGTACCCATGAAGGTTTGACTAAATGGGTCAAACCTCTCTACTGTGAATTTCTATTTCTATGATGGTTACAAAAGTAGTCTTTTAGAATACCTGTTTTTTGTAACTAACTTTGAAATCCAAACTAGGAGTGAAAATAGATTTTTTTGTCACTGCTTCCAGAAATACTTGATAGGGAAAAGAAGAAAGAGATGATTTCTAATTTTTAAAGTGATTTTTGGGAAGTTTGATTAGTTCAGAAATATCTTGGGTTATCTAGAGAATTATATATAATACCTGTAGGTGATCGAGATAAATTTATTTTTATTTTTATTTTTTTCTTTTTTTTTCTTTTTTTTGAGACAGTGTCTCACTCTGTCACCCGTACTGGAGTGCAATGGCATGATCATGGTTCACTATAGCCTTGACCTCCTAGGCTCAAGAGATCCTCCCACCTCAGCTTCCCAAATAGCTGGGACTACAGGCACATGCCACCACACCTGGCTGATATTTGTATTTTTTGTAGATGTTTTGCCATGTTGCCCAGGCTGATCTGGAAATCCTGGGCTCAAGCAATCTACTCATGTAGGCCTAGGCCTCCCAAGGTGCTGGGATTAAAGATGTAGCCACTGTGCCAGACCAGATAAATTCATTTTTAAAGATTACTTGAAAATCGCTTTGGTTGCATCAATTAAGGGGCTTGTTAGAATATCAGCACTATTTTTGATACCTAGTTGAAATTTTGGTATCTCCATGATTGCGTAAGGTGGCAAGAAGAGATTAAAAATAGGAAAGTATGTAGGACAGTATTGAACACTGTAATGATCAGGCCTAACAGAGTCCTCACAGTAACGCTGTGACTGGCTTAGGGATGGAGTTTATGCGGGACCCTGTAAGTAGAATAATTATTGACCCTTTGTCTACAGCAGTTATTGAAGCAACACCACAGAGTAAAGACTAAGCATTGATGAGATGACTCTATTTCCTCTCTTCTGCTCTGTATTATGTGTAGGGTGATGTTGGGCTTGCTATGGGGAAACTATATGGAAATGACTTCAGCCAAACTACCATCTCTCGCTTTGAAGCCTTGAACCTCAGCTTTAAGAACATGTGCAAGTTGAAGCCACTTTTAGAGAAGTGGCTAAATGATGCAGGTAAGTGAATATATAAGACATTTCTTTGTCATTCATTGGAATTTTACAGGAGGGTCGTGATATAAATTGGGGTTTATACTTGTTACTCTACTTTTGTTATTATAGAACCTTGAAGCTTACTAATCCTGTGATCATTATAAATTATGGTGATGTAAATCAGAAAGCTGATTCATTTAAATATTCTAGCAGTCATAGTCTAAATAATTAGCAATAATTCTTAGCCTGAAATACTTCTTGTATTTGAGCCAGGATTAGGAACACAACACACAGTTGAAGGAATAGGATAAGAAGGTCTGTGTATTTAGATAAGCTTGAAGTGCAAGCTTATTGTTTATTCCTTGATGAATTATCATAGAACTTGTTCTTGTAGTATTTCTGCTTTTGTTATTTCAAATGACCACACGTTTCATTCAGAAAAGTGGGACTACTAGCTTTGTCTTACATTTTTTGTGCAAAGATTTCCTTTTGGAAGATTTGGATTTTGAGTCACAGAATCATAGACTATGAAAGCTATAGTAATCATCTAGATTTCTCAGACTATGGTTCTTATCGTAGATGTGAACAAAAACTAGACCTTTGGAAAAGACAAGCCTGAAACACACATCCTTGGAGAGTTTTATTCAGTAGCTATTGGTGAGGCCTAGCCATCTGTTTCCTGAGTCCACAGATAAAAACGACTGGTTTACTCCCTCCATCTTATTTTACATGTAGCAGAAACAAACTCAGATGTGTCTGATATGCCCAAGATTATTAAACTGTGAAATTACAGAACTCTATGATTTAACTTCAAAGAATTTATAAATATTTCGTTTGTTTCTTTTCTTTTTACCCTAGATTATACCAATAAAATGAGAGGCCATTTATAAGATAAATATTAAACATTCAGTAATTGCCAAGAAGCTTTCTTCTTTTTATCCTCAGAATTTATAAACAGAAATGAGAGACATAGAGCTGAGTTTAAGGGTAGGAATAGTAAACAACTTCTTTCTCAGAAACAGAAATCCAAAAGTAGTGGTAATATTGTCAACTAGGACAAAGAACACCAATAAGGGCAGCAGAAATATCCATAGTAGTAAGCTATATTTTTTGAGGCATGGTCTCACTCTGTTACCCAGGCTGGAGTAGAGTGGCATGATCTCAGCTCATTGCAGCCTCCACCTCCCAGGTTCAAGTGATTCTCCCACCTCAGCCTCCCAAATAGCTGGGACCACAGGCGCACACCACAATGCCCAGCTAATTTTTCTATTTTTGGTAGAGACGGGGTTTCACCATGTTAGGCCAGGCTGGTCTTGAACTCCTGACCTCAAGTGATCCTCCCACCTCAGCCTCCCAAAGTATTGGGATTACAGGTGTGATCCACTGTGCCTAGCCAATAAGGAATATTGCAATGTAGGTTATGTGGAAACCTTTTCATACTTGCATGTAGCTTATTTTGTCAGTTTTGTTGTTAATATGCATGTTCTACACAGGAATCACTGTGCTCAGCTAATTTTATTTCTGTATTTACTTCATTCTTACAGAGAACCTCTCATCTGATTCGTCCCTCTCCAGCCCAAGTGCCCTGAATTCTCCAGGAATTGAGGGCTTGAGCCGTAGGAGGAAGAAACGCACCAGCATAGAGACCAACATCCGTGTGGCCTTAGAGAAGAGTTTCTTGGAGGTCAGTGAGGTTTTTACTTTTCTGTATATGGGATTGTCTGTGTAGGACTTAACATTAGTACTTAGTAGAAACTGTAGGTGATAAAAGATGACCTGTCAGCCTCTGCCCTTATAGGTGATTTTAATGAAATAGGTGAAATAAGTAAATTACTGACTGACATAGGAGACAGAACCAGAGTTCTGCAAGTTCCAGGAGAGACCAGAGTCATATCCGTGTGAGCACTCAGTATTTACTGAGAGAGGTAGCAGCTACCATAGGGTACATAGGAATTAATTCCACAGACTAGAAAAAGTGGATGGAAAGTACTTAAAGCAGAGGAAACACATGAGTGTTTCCCCCTCAGAGTGGGGAAAACATTGGAGTGAGGGAAACCATAAAGTGTACCAGGAGACACTCTAGTAGATTGGTTGGTTCAATTCTAGTGTCTGTATGCCTGGAATAGTAATTTGGGACTGGAACACTAGCGACCTTGAATGTTAGGCTGTGGAGCTTAAGTTAATGGAAGAGATATTTGGCAATTATTTTTTTGTGCCAGGCAATATTATAATCAAAGCTTTTAAGAAAATGTTAACTTCTCTAGTTCAGAAAAGACTTGAGCATATTAGAAGGACACTGAATTAGGAGTTTTTTTTTTTGAGACAGAGTTTTGGTCTTGTTACCCAGGCTGGAGTGCAATGGTGCGATCTCGGCTCACTGCAGCCTTCGTCTCCTGGGTTCAGGCATGAATCAGGAATTTTTATCAGCTCTGCCACTTACTGTGTGATTGGGCAAATCACATGATTTCTTTAAGCTGAAGGTCCTTCATCTGTGAAATACCTGCCTTTCTTAATGTGAGGTCCAAATTAGATAGCATGAAGCATGAAGAAAGGTTTAATTCCTACTAATACCTAGGGTTGTATTGGTATTTTGTTAATTTTATTCACAATTATTAGATCCTAAAAATGAAAAAATACAGATACTCGATAACTTATTCTAAGTTAATATGAATAAGTTTAGTAAGTATATGTTCATTAGAACTTCTATCTGCAGAATCTCTCTGTTGAAAGTGGCCTAATATGGATAGTCATATGTATCCCTGCTTCATTGTCTAACCTGTCCCTCCTCATTTGTTTATTTATATACTGATGTGATTATGCCAATATTCAAAAAGTTATTCCAAAGGATGACTTTTGGAATTATGTTTTTTCACCCTTCAGAATCAAAAGCCTACCTCGGAAGAGATCACTATGATTGCTGATCAGCTCAACATGGAAAAAGAGGTGATTCGTGTTTGGTTCTGTAACCGCCGCCAGAAAGAAAAAAGAATCAACCCACCAAGCAGTGGTGGGACCAGCAGCTCACCTATCAAAGCAATTTTCCCCAGCCCGACTTCACTGGTAAGAATGGAAAATAGGGGGTCCAAGCTCAAGGGCTAATTTTCGCAATTTTGCAAATGACCTGTTAAATCAGTTTATTTCATAATAGGAATTTAATGAATAAATACATCAAATAAATGCATATAAATTTATATTTTAGATATTATCAAGGTAACGAAATTTATTCTCTCTCTTTCTCCCCCCCCCTCTCTCTTTCTCTCTCCCCCCCGTCTCTCCACCCCACCCCCTCCCCCCACCGAGGTCACTGGTCTTGAGGTGCCCCTGCACAGAGGATGAAATCTCATTGTTACTAACCCAACAACTTACTGGTCTTTTTATTTATTTGTTTGTTTGTTTGTTTATTTATTTATTTTTGAGGCAGATTCTCAGTCCATCACCCAGGCTGGAGTGCAGTGGTATGATCTCGGCTCACTGCAACCTCTGCCTCCTGGTTTTAAACAGTTCTCCCTGCCTCAACCTCCTAAAGTAGTGGGATTACAGGTGCCCACCACCATGCTCAGCTTATTTTTTGTATTTTTAATAGAGGTGGGGTTTCACCATGTTAGCCAAGCTGGTGCTGAACTTCTGACCTCAAGTGATCCATCTGCCTCAGCCATCCAAAGTGCTGGGATTATAGGTGTGAGCCACCACACCCAGCCTTCTTTTTTTTTCAATTGAGACAGAGTTTTGCTCTTATCGTCCAGGGTGGAGTGCATTGGTGCAATCTCAGCTCAGTGCAACCTCTGCCTCCCAGGTTGAAGCAATTCTTCTGCCTCAGCCTCCCAAAGTAGCTGGATTACAGGCACTCGCCACCAAGCCCAGCTAATTTTTTTGTATTTTTAGTTGAGATGGGATTTTACCATATTGGCCAGGCTGGTCTTGAACTCCTGACCTCAGGTAATCCACCCACCTCAGCCTCCCAAAGTGCTGGGATTACAGGTGTGAGCCACTGTACCCTGCCCGCCTTTCTTAATTTTTAACGTGAACAATTTTAATTCTTTCACTGCATTTCCATCATACTCTTTTCTAGTATAGTTCCTTAGATTACTCTGTAACCATGGGAGTAAATTTGCTGCTCATTCCAGTTATCTCAGAAAATCTTTAGTTACTTTTTATTCATGTTGAGTCCTAAAGCCCAATGAATTAAACTTACACTCACATGATTGATAGTAAATTGCCAGACCTTCAGCTCTGAACTTGTATTAAAACGATTATCTCAGATCTTTTACTTTCAAACAACATATGATTCTTTCCTGTGAAACCTCATTGAGTAACTTCTGCTGTTTGCATTATTCCTAGATTGAATAGACATACAGTGGTCATGTGACTCCCTTGATTTTTAGGATGATTGTATGTGTGACTTCTACATACAAACATCCTAAAAATCAAAATACGGAAATTCAAAATATGGGAATATTGTTGAGTTTGCATTTCTGTTCTTTTTTTTTTTTTAATTTGGTTTTATTTTAATTGAATAGCATTCCATACTGGCAGGCTTTTAAAACTAAAGTCAGCATTAAAAGCACATGTTAGTTTACAGGAAAGTTGTAGTTGTTAAGTGATGGGTTTGTTGTCATAAAGTTCATGAGATAGGTATGAAAAAGAGAATTATTAAATAATTTTGTTTTGTACAGGTGATGTTTATGTTTTAGATTTATTTGTACTAGAAGACAGTATTTCTTGCAAACTGTAGAATTTTTTCATATTTCAAAACTAATCTTAGTTTTTTTTAAAGTTTACATGATATTTTTATAATTTTCTTTTATTAAAACCAAGCATAAGGCCATACTGCCCCCGACAGAGTCAAAAGTAAAAGTAATACATGTACCCCAGATTCCCTGATCCTGTCAAACAGTTTTCTTATTTAAGTAAAGTTGATAATTAGTAGAATGTTTATTACTGACTTAAAATATATCTAATTAACATTACTGAAATTTAGGGACTTTTATTATTTATTTTTAAAACCCGGGCAAAGTTATTTGTGGTATCAGTGAACAACCATCTTCCAATAGCAGCTTTCCAGCACAGGATGTCAGATGTCTCAATTTCAAGACTAAAGAGTGACTATAAAATGATTTTTAAGTGCTTTGTCCGTGTTTTCATTTATGACCTCAAGGTGGCGACCACACCAAGCCTTGTGACTAGCAGTGCAGCAACTACCCTCACAGTCAGCCCTGTCCTCCCTCTGACCAGTGCTGGTGTGACGAATCTTTCAGTTACAGGTAAGCAGCTGCCAGGCCATGCACCTGCTGAGCACGTGGGAGGCCCGTGATGGGTTATTATAAGAATCTGCCATTAAATTGTGAATTAAGGCTCTAACTAAAGATAAGTGTTGCTCATAAACATCATTTTTCTTTCAAGTAACTCCTCAAAAACCTTCAATAGCTGTGGCTTTTTACATTCAGGAAAACATCCAAGTTTATCAATTCATAGAAGGTTATTTCCAGTCTGAACCTGATCTCCCGCTAGTCTGTTGCCTACCCTACCCTCAGCACACAGGAGGGCTCCATCTATACCTTTGTAAACATCCCTGCACTGGAAATGTCCATCTTAGCATGCAGTTCTTGATCTGTTCTTAATAAAACTACCCCAGCTTATATGTCAACTTTTCTTGGAAATATTATTTAGCTTCTCCAGGAAACTATTCATTTCCACATACCTGTATTATGCTTTTATTTTTACACATCTGTCTTTCCCAATAGACTTTGTCCTTTCAGAAGATTCAGTATTCTTTTTGAACTCTTGATGCCTAGCTCAGTGCGTGACATACTCACTATAAAATGAATGGGTTTTTTTTTCTTTTGCATTCCTTTAAGTAGCAAATTTTCCCAATAAATTTAAAATCACTGAGCACTGTCATTAGATGTTTTTTAGATGATACATAGTGCATAAGACATGCTGTAATTTTCACCAGGTTGGTTATTTACTGGTAAATCATTGGGTAGATTCATGATATTTCATAATGAAGCTTGATTTAACCTAGAGGTGAGGACTTTTATTTTTCTCACTTTTGTTTTAAGTTTATAACACTTTCTTGGCTCTAGGACCTAATGATGATGTAAAAATTGAATAAATGGCTTTATGTTATATTAAATTTCTACATTATTGGAATACATTATTAAAAATGTTATTGATTTTTTTCTGCATCCAACCATCCATTAATTTTTGCTTATTTTAAAAAGTACTTCTTGACCTTTTCTGGATGTTGGACCTCTTTAAGAATTAATGAAAGCTACAGACTTTTCCTTCCACTAAATAGAAATATAAACAAGTTTTAATAAAATTTAAGGAGGTTTATAAATGACAACTCCTGTCAACCCCCACCCCAAGGCTATTTGTGGATACCTACAGATTCCAGTTTTAAGAACCTTCATTCAAGAATATATTTAAGAACCTTGGTTAGGCGTATATATAATATTGAGCACTTCCTTTTAAAAAGCAAACTTAGTGATTGATTGGCATTGTGTCAGGCACCAAGAACATGAAGTTTCGTCTCTGAGGACCTTGTTTCCAAATTGACTGCCAGTCACCTGGCACATTATGAACTGAATCTTACGTTCCCAACAAATTATATTGCTTTAGGTCTAAATTTTTTGTTTTTTACAGAAAAAATTCTAATAGTTTATACATTAAGAACAAATCGCGTTGCAGTTTTCTTAAAATATGGGGTAAAAATAATTTTAGAAAGATTTTAATACTCAGTGCTAGCTAAAAATTTGCATCCGTTTTTGATATTTCTTATCAATCACATTTTCTTGAGCTCAGTTACTCAGCCTATTTATGTGGATCTAATTGTGATTGTTTTCTGACATGTTGATAATGTTTCCTGGAATGAAATTTTTTTTTAATTACTAAGAAACAGCATTATTAGGAAATTTAAACAGGAAAAAACAATCACAAGTACTATTTTTATTTTCTCTTTAAACCTTTTTAATGTACCTGTATGTACAGTTTCAGTAGTATTTGTCCAGTACAGTATTTGATTGCAGCCTTATGATACTCTAAGCAGAGGACTCTAGGTTGTGCCTGGACACCTCATCTACAAAAACTATGAGATGATAAATTGTGTTGTTTTAAGCTGCTGAATTTGTGTCATTGCTCCTTGAAAGAGAAGAAGAGTCAGTGTCAAGTGGATTGTCTTTCTTACTCTTTTATCAGCCATTGCTCAAAACCATGCCTGCTTTTAATTTTTTTTCCTCTTTGGACTATAACTTTCTGGTGCAACCTCTTTTCCTCTGACATTTTTATACTGCCTTCATTTTTTCTCTGTTGAGAAAAGTAGCATGTTTCTTTATCATGTTATTTCTTAAAGACAGCCAATGTCTTAATCATACAACTTACCTAATGCAGTCTGTTTTCTTCCTGGAGACTTTCTTCTTGGGATTTCTATGATTGCTTATTTTAATTTGTTTTCCTGAGTTAGATTCAATGTTTCTCAGATCCCCTGCCTTCCTCTTTGATTCCTTTTTGTCTGGAGCATGTACTCAAGTAATTTTATTTAGAAAGGTTACATGGGAGGTAAAATTTCTAAATATATGTAGAACTGAGAAGTTTTTATTTTGCCCTCACAGTTTTTTTGGAGTTTGTCCAGTTACAAAATTATTTTTCCTTTGAATTTCATTGTGTTTTAAGCATCAAGTGTTGCTGATGAAAAGTCTGATTTCAGTCTCTTTTTTCTTGTTTTATCTCTCTCTAAACCTTAAGGGTCTTTTTATCTTTACTCTTCTAAAATTTCATTATGAGGTTTCAAAGAAGGGGCCTTTTAAAACTTGCCCTCATTGGCCTTCAGTGAGCATTTTCAATGTGAATTAATGTCTTTCTTGAACTCTGGTAATTTATCTTTTTTTTAAGTTAGGGTATTTTGGCATTCACTTTGTATATTCATTTTGTGCCATTTGTTGTGTTGTTGGCTTTTTCATTGGTGATTTTTGGTTACTTATTCATAGTAATTAATGCAAGATTACATTACTTAATATCAGTAGCTTGTAAGGGTTTTTCCTGACATTTTGTAGCTTCTGTTACTCAAGAGTCCTTCCCCCTGAATGGAAGGGCTAGTGGTGAGCTGTGGATGTGAATAAAGAACTGCCAAACTTTATTTCAGCATATGAACAGGAAGCAGGCAGGCAAGCGAGGCTTTCCCTCATACTTTTCCAAAATGAGGGGTATCTTTACTCATGCATGCAAGTGTCTACACTAGAATCCTTAGCCTTTTAAAAGAGCTAAAAAAGGTCACCTTTTTTTTTTTTGAAACGGAGTCTCACGTCATCACCCAGGCTGGAGTGCAATCTCAATGCAACCTCTGCCTCCTGGGTTCAAGAGATTCTTGTGCCTCAGCCTCCCTAGTAGCTGAGATTACAGGCACCTGCCACCATGCCCAGCAAATTTTTTTGTGTTTTTAGTAGAGACAGAGTTTCACCATGTTGGTCAGGCTGGTCTTGAACTCCTGACCTCATGTGATCTGCCCACCTCAGTCTCCCAGAGCACTGGGATTACAGGTGTGAGCCACTGCACCCAGCCAAAAATGTTATCTTTTACATAAAATTTTTTCCAATGTATCATACCCGAGTCTGAAATGTTTGTTTTGATTGGTCTGGATTTTTGAAAATAATGTATTGAAAGTATTTTATACTTCATAGAATTATCACATTAATAAATTTTTAGATGCTTTTTTTTTTTGTCTTTTCGAGTTTTCTGTCTTGAGAAAATGCCACTTAGATTTTGTTTCCCTCAGTGTCTTCAGGGGATTGGTTCAAAACCCCACCAGATACCAAAATCCACAGGTGCTCAAATCAGTTATTTAAAATAGCAACCTGGCTCAGTGGCTCATGCCTGTAATTTCAGCACTTTGGGAGGCTGAGGCAGGAGAATCACTTGAGTTCCTCAGGATTTCAAGACCAGCAAGACCCCCATCTCTACAAAATATACAAAAATTAGGCAGGTGTGGTGGTGCATGCCTATAGTCTCAGCTACTTGGGAGGCTGAGGTGGAGAGATCACTTGAGCCTGAGAGGTTGAAGCTGCAGGGAGCTGTGATCATGCCACTGCAGTCCAGCCTAGGTGGCACAGTGAGACCCTGTCTCAAAAAAATATATTTAAAGAAGAAAATTAAAATAGCATAGTATTTATATATAACCTCCTCACATCCTCTTGGACACTTTAAATCATCTCTAGTTTACTTACAATACCTAGCACAGTAGAAATGCTATATAGTTGTTATAATGTATTGTTCTAAAATTTATATTATTTTTATTGTATTATTAATTTTTTAAAAATATTTTTGATACACAGTTGGTCAAATCCACGTATGTGGAACACGTGGATTCAGAGAACCAACTGTATATAATTGATTATATCCTAGAACATAGCGAATTTTACTAAAGTAAGTTTCAGCTAGTTTAGGCAGCCTATTTTTGTAATATGCTGGTAACACTGACTGATAACTGAAATAAGGGCCTATTCGACTGTCTTTTATAGATAGCCTCAGAATTACAGCTCACTGGGGACAGTTGGCATCTCCTGCTTTGTGAAAAGTTATCTATTCTCTGAGAGCTGTGTGAGCCATTTCTACTTTAGGCAAACTGACTTAACATTCTTTAAGTCACACTTGCCTCTGGAACCTCACAGGCCTCACTTCCAGACATATTTGAGACCTGTGGTATCCGATGTGGCATCCACCAGCCACATATGGCTTTTGAACATTAAAAGTGTGGCTAGTTCAACTTTAGGTGTACTATAATCATAAAATAAGATACCATTTTCAGACTCAGAAAGGAAAATGGCAAAATAAGTCAATATTTAAATTTTTATTTTTTCTCTTTTTCTTTTTTATAAGCAGACCTATTTAGTATCCATCAATATTGAAATATTGACTTCATCTTGAAATGCTAATATTTTGGGTACATTAGGTTAAATATAATATATAACTGAAATTAATTTTACATTTTTCTTACTATTTTTTTTTTTGAGGCAGAGTCTCTGTTGCCTAGGATGGAGTGCAAGGACATGATCTCAGCTCACTGCAACCTCTCCCCCTTGGGCTCAAGCAGTTTTCCTGCCCCAGCCTCCTGAGTAACTGGAATTGCAGGTGCCCACCACCACGCCTGGCTAATTTTTGTATTTTTAATAGAGACGGGGTTTCACCATGTTGGCCAGGCTGGTTTTGAACTCCTGACCTCAAATGATCCACCTGCCTTGGCCTCCCAAAATACTGGGATCACAGGCGTAAGCCACTATATCCGGCCTTTTCTTACTATTTTAAGTGGAGCTACTAGAAATTTTTAAATTACATATGTCTTGAATTTCTGTTAGACATCACTGATCTCAAACATTAAATAATCCAAGCAAATGTGTTTTAGTGTTTAGAATGATATATTTAATGTAAGTTAGTCATTTATATCCAAATGTTCATTCTCCTTAAACCAAAGGCATATTCAGGCACTCTTTTTCTAAGACCTCACAATGCTAATTTCTTTTATTTATTTATTTATTTATTTTGAGATGGAGTCTTGCCCAGGCAGGAGTGCAGTGGCGTGATCTCGGCTCACTGCAACCTCCACCTCCCAGGTTCAAGCAATTCTGTGTCAGCCTCCCAAGTAGCTGGGTCTACAGGTGCCCACCACCATGTCGAGCTAATTTTTGTACTTTTAGTAGAGACGGGGTTTCACCATGTTGGCCAGATGGTCTCGATCTCTTGACCTTGTGATCTGTCTGCCTCAGCCTTCCAAAGTTCTGGGATTACAGGCATGAGCCACCATGCCTGGCCTACATATAATAATTTCTTACATCTTCATTTTTATGCTAGCTTTCATGAGATTCATAATATCATTGTATTTTTTTTTTTTTTTACCACAGTGGACTTTTTGAGAGCTAATTTTATTACACAATAGTTACTTGTTTGCATATCATAGAGAAGGCACATAGTCATTTTTATACAATGTTGTTGATACTGAATTCTTAGAAAAGCACATAACTTTCTGTTTTTCTTCTTGTTTTGATTTTTCTGAAGAGACCACTAAGGAGATTTCTGAATGAAAAAGAGCTTTACAGAAGGTTTTCTTCTTGTTTCTTTTTTCTTCCCCAGAGAAATCGTATTCCATAATTAGAGCTTCAGTGATTCTTTCTTTTGTTTCTTGAATAGGAAATAGGCATTGGAAAACTTTTCTGTTACTTTGATTGCTCATATCTCTTAAAGTAGGGTTCATAGCTGTGATTCTAAAATGTTTGTTGTTGTAATTTTCATAGAAGCACTAAACTACTGGGCTCTTTGAAACAGCCCAGTAAAATTATTAAAGGGCAAATTTACGAGGTGGTAGGTTAATTATTCCATTGATTATAGAGTTTGGCTGAGTAAACCCACCATTCTTCCAAAACCATTTACAAAAGGTCATCTTCTAATCTGGTCTTTTCAGGCACTTCAGACACCACCTCCAACAATACGGCAACCGTGATTTCCACAGCACCTCCGGCTTCCTCAGCAGTCACATCCCCCTCTCTGAGTCCCTCCCCTTCTGCCTCGGCCTCCACCTCCGAGGCATCTAGTGCCAGTGAGACCAGCACAACACAGACCACCTCCACTCCTTTGTCCTCCCCTCTTGGGACCAGCCAAGTGATGGTGACAGCATCAGGTTTGCAAACAGCAGCAGCTGCTGCCCTTCAAGGAGCTGCACAATTGCCAGCAAATGCTAGTCTTGCTGCCATGGCAGCTGCTGCAGGACTAAACCCAGGCCTGATGGCACCCTCACAGTTTGCGGCTGGGTAAGGCGCTTTCTCATCTATTCACATCTGAGGAGGAGGTCATCCCTGGAATTCCCTGTAGGGGAGACTTTGCATCACCTGACTTAAATGGGGGGAAAATATCTTTAAAGCAGTAATCTCTTTGAAATGGACTGTTTTGTGATCATACAAGGACCTTGATTATAGTTGAGTTTAAGTTTCTTAACACCCTGGGAAAGGGAGTAGTCGTAACTTTGTTTCCAGAGAAAGACTCCAAATACCAGGTCATTGATTACCTCGGTGCCAGGGCCAGGAAGAAAGCCCAGAATTCTTGACTCTTATTTTCCCCATTACGCTCTCTCAACTGCCTACTTCCTAATTCTCAGGCATAGATAAGAGATGTAGTAATGAGAGTCTCAATTTTATACTGTTATTGTCAAACATAAGAATTACCTTGTAAATATATCTTTTTCTCTAGAATGTTTCTTTCATTTTGGAAAAAAGAAGTAAGTCATTCAAAATGACTTTAAAAGTCTTACATTTTGTGCTGATCATAACCTCATATTTATGAGTAAGCATCAAGGAAAACAATAACTGAGAAGCACTAACCAAACCGTAGAAGAGTAAAGAAAAATAAATATTTTCATCTATTTCCCCAGTTGGATTTTCCCTTTGTAAGTTCTTTTTGGTGTGTTGTCAAAATGAGACCTCCATCTGCATGGTAATAAAGTGACTCCTCTTTTGGACTTGCAGAGGTGCCTTACTCAGTCTGAATCCAGGGACCCTGAGCGGTGCTCTCAGCCCAGCTCTAATGAGCAACAGTACACTGGCAACTATTCAAGGTCAGTAGAAGCTTTTTGCTTACTTTGGTGGCATGCGTGTATGTGTGTGTGAGAGAGAGAGAGAGAGATGGAGGAAGTCTGCTTTGCTAGAGGATGAAGGGTTTCCCTTATTTAGTACCTGAGCTTTCTGTCTAAAAATGTTTACTGTTATGTGATTCAGGGAGACAATTTGAGAGATATCACTAATTAATTATAGAATTTTTTTTCTTAAAATTGTAATAGTTTTGATGAGAGGCTGAGGCAGGAGGATCACTCAAGGCCGTAAGTTTAAGGCTGCAGTGTGCTGGGATGTTGCCTGCGAATAGCCTTGTACTGCAGCTTGGGCAACCCAGTGAGACCCTGTTTCTTAAAAAAAAAAAAAAAAAGAAAATTAAAGTGTCTTGTGCATAAATGAGAGTTTTCAGGGCCAGAAAATAATTAGCCAACCTAAATTAAGGTTAGCATTTCACAGGTGATATCTCTAACAGTGTACTATAGCGAATGTCAAATTACAGACAGAACCAAACCATGGCCTTGATTACCTAACATTATACGGACTTTCTGATTGACTAAATCATACCTGAATTGGTTAGCTCAAAAGCTTTCGTTATATAATCTTTTTTTTTTTTTTTTTTTGCAAGGGAATTTGTGGTAAATCACTTTTTCTTCTGCTTTATTGAATGTTTCTGTGCTGTGGGGATACTACAAAGGCCACATAAATTTCCCAGGGCATGATTGACACTCTGAAAAGATCTGGAACTGGTCTGTGACCCTAAGTTTGAAATCTCAGAAGAAGTTCAAGCTGCACTAAGTCTCACTGTTCTGTACTATTTGTATGAGCATGGCCAAAGTCAGAGGCATTCCCTTCAGCTGTGTATTGTGTAAGAAATCAACCAACTGTGCAATGCCATTAGAAAATCCCTCAAATCTACATGTTGGAATGAGGTTATATGGATGGGGAGATTTAGGAATGTTGTGGGACAGCAGGATGAGATGTTAAATGATAGTCTCAATTATTCTAAATAAAATGCTGATGATGCCTTCTTTGGGGAAGCAACAGCATCAGAGAAAACTTCTCACCTATTAAAGCACATCCTAGCTTTAGATCACTTACATGGGCCACCTACATCATTACGTCTGATATCCTCCTACCATAGATTCATCATTCTCCTTTGTACAAGTCATAGAAATCAAATGTTTAGCCTCAGGAAGTGAGAAATTATACCTTTTATTTTATTTGGTGATATATACTTTATTTTAAAACTAAAGCCTTTTTACAAGATGGTTTGCATCTTATATATCATAATATGAAGAGTGGTCCTCAACCTTTTTGGCATCAGGGACCGGATTTGTGGAAGACAATTTTTCCACAGCCACAGTGCAGGGGGATGGTTTCTGGCTAACATTGTTTCCACCTCAGATGGTGCTCCTATAAGAATCTAATGCCACCACTGATCAAACAGGAGGCGGGCCTCAGGCTGTAATGCACACACCATTTACCTCCTATTTTTAATGCTTTAGTCCCTTTAGCTAGTTTGTCTTTTGAACAGAGGTAGTTTAAAATTGGAAGGAGGTAGTTAAAAATAAAGACAACATTTTTGGATTTATCAAATATGTCTAGGTAAATGAAATAAACTTGAGATTTCAAGATGGAAACATGACTCTAATTCAGTAGACAGGTATTAATTCTGTGTTCTACCCCTGCTTGTGCTCATTAAATTAGACATTTCAGTCTTTTAGGCTCTTCAAAGTTATAAAGTACAGTTGGTTATCAGTATAGCACTGTGATTGAGGAAGAACTTCAGTGAAAGGCTATACTTTTTCCCTAGCGAGTGTGATAGACTTTTGATGTGTTATTTGGCTTCCCCAGGATGATATTAATGTTCTCATTCCTGCCTGTTGTTTGGTGTTTTGTCTGTAGCTCTTGCTTCTGGTGGCTCTCTTCCAATAACATCGCTCGATGCAACTGGGAACCTGGTATTTGCCAATGCAGGAGGAGCCCCCAACATTGTGACTGCCCCTCTGTTCCTGAACCCTCAGAACCTCTCTCTGCTCACCAGCAACCCTGTTAGCTTGGTCTCTGCTGCCGCAGCCTCTGCAGGGAACTCTGCACCTGTAGCCAGCCTTCACGCCACCTCCACCTCCGCTGAGTCCATCCAGAACTCTCTCTTCACAGTGGCTTCTGCCAGCGGGGCTGCATCAACCACCACCACCGCCTCCAAGGCACAGTGAGCTGGGTGGAGCTGGGCTGCCAGAAGCCTTTTTCACTCTGCAGTGTGATTGGACTGCCAGCCAGGTTAATAAACTGAAAAATGTGATTGGCTTCCTCTCACCGTGTTGTGAGGGCAAAGGAGAGAAGGGAGAAAAATAAAACACATACCAGAAAAAAAAGAAAGGATGGAGATGGGACATTTGCCTAATTTTGTAATAAAACACTGTCTTTTCAGGATTGCTTCATGGATTGGAGAACTTTCTAACCAAAAATTAAAAAAAAAAAAAAAAAGAAACAAAAAATCAAAAACAAACAAAAATAAGTGAAAGGACTACTTATCATTTCCAGCAGTCATGATGACAAGTTAAGGTGAGTTACCAATTCCAGTATAGGAAGGGGATTTCTTGTTTGTCTAAATTTCTTTTTTTCTTAAAAAAAAATCATTTTTATGGGTCTGTTGTACAGGCCATTAAGTCATAACAAGGTGTTTATAATCGTATCAATTGTGTTGGGGGTTCCTTTCTTAACTGGTACAATTTAGGCAGGCCTGTATTACTGTATCTCTATTATTGTTGTTGTTATTGTTTCATATATATATATATATATGTATATGTATGTATGTGTATATATATATATATATATATATATATATAGTTTGGACATGTTTATTATCTCTCGCTCCTGGATCCTATTTCAGTGAGCTCCCACACTGTGGGGAGGGAGGGTTTTAGGGTAAGGGGAGACTTCTGTTCTTAACTTCGGGGAATGTTCTTGCTGGTTTCCTTATCCTTGATGACTCTTACAGAGGTGCTAGAAAATTATTTTCTTTTGCCACTTATGCAAGAGGCTTGGTGCAGAAGCTGAAGGCAGTGTGTGCAAACACTCCCATTCCACACACGCCCCTTCCCCTCCCCACATCAGGTGGTGCCTTTGGAGCACTTTTGTGTAGGAAGAAATTCCTGCTGAACTGTAGCTCTCACTCACCCCCAAATCATTGAATGACCCTGAGGCCCAGATCCTGTGGTGCAACAGTGCTGCTTTCTGCTACTTTCAATGGGAACAGCTGTACATGTTGCAGGGCAGGATTTGGTTCCGAAGAGCAAAGACTACTGCAGACACCTGACTTGGTGGTTCTCCTGATTTCTTATCTCCTGAAAAAATGCTCCTACTGTTGGTGTGTTTGTTTGTTTGTTCCATTTTGTGGAAGTTTTTATCCAAACTTTCTTTAACTTGGCCAAGACAAAAACTGATTTATTGAAATTGGGAAACTTTTCCCTTCTTTTATTTTCTAAAGGAATTCAACTAAACTTATTTTCCATCAATAATATATACAAAAGAGGTGTGATGAGAAGAGTCAAAAGTTACCACTTTTTCCTCTAGAGAGCCACAGACTTCCTTTCCACTGGATGGCTTATAAATTCCTCTAACCCTAAGATTCCTCTTGGTTCTCTAACTAAAGGAGGCACTTACTAGCCAGGCTGGGATCTGTAGAACCTTTGAAGAAGGACTTTGAGCAGGAACTTTGCACACACCTTAAGTGTCTCCTTGGTTTGTTCGTGATGCTCCTGCTAGGTAGGGCTAAATGGCAATACACATCTCTTTATTCAAAGTAGAAAGTGATTAGCTCCTGTAATTACTTTCAGGGTATTTCTAGACTATATAAATGAGCCCATTGAAAAGGAAGAGCTTGTGAAAGTGGATAAAGAGGAATAAGGGTAACTTAGGGATTAAATTCCCCTCTTTGTCAGTGTACTGTTATTATGCCATCTGTACCAAAAAAAAAAAAAAATTCCAAAAGACTGGATCACTGCCGTGCAGTTCATCTAAGTTCCCCTTCTTATTGGAGATAAAGGTTCCCATTTGGTGTCTGGGGGGCTTGCTTAAATCTCTGGTGGTCCCAAGACTGCACTTTTTCTCCCTTTCAAGCTGGGGATGTAGAGAGAACTTACAGGTGATTTTTGTTCTGATGGCTTTGTTTGTGTTTACAGGGGAGCTTGGATTCTGTGTATTTGTCTCTCTTTACCATTGTCCAGAAAGGCAGTAAATACAGACACAATGTGTACTTGGTGTGTGATTCAAGTGGGAGACATTCTGTTAAAAGGTCAGAAACATTTTAGTCCCCTTTAAATTTTTTTTAGTATTTTTTCTATCTTGTTTTATTTCACAAAGTATTTAATTACCACCCCTAAATTTCCTCCTGTTACCCTTCACCTTCCCTAAAATCCTTCCAAAATCAGTGAACTGCAAGCAGGGAAACTAACAAATATCCATTCACCCTTTTGTGTTGTGTGTTTTTTATGTTTTATTTTGTTTTTTAACTAAGCTTGAACCAAAGTCAATTTTTAGCAAGCTGCTGTACTAATGGACTAGTTTATAACGTGCAGTTCAGACACATCGAGGAGATAGATGCTACTGACAATTTCTTTTTCATTTGTCTTTGTTAATTTTATATAAAAGTTGCTGCTTGTTTTTAATCTTTTATGTTGGTAAATTGTAATATCCTCTGGGCAGACATTAACACTTGATGTTTAGTTTATTAGGTTGGTGTGTAAATAGAATGACAATGTCAGTTACTAATTTCTCTCCTCTCCCTCTCCATGTAGTTTTTCTCTGTTGTAGTTAAATTTAATCTTCTATCCTGACTTGACATTTAGTCTGTGCAAATGATTTGAGGGCTATCAGCAATGCTGTAGCTGCCCATAGTAATGAGTCCCTCCCTTGGGAGTGGTGAAACTTAGAAGGATTCAGGGAGGGAATTGCTGATACCCACTATACTGGATTAGAAGTTATAGCATTAATTTCTCAAAATTGCTACCAAAGGAAGTGTGGAGTCCCAAGGGACTCAAGCTCAGTGAGTTAAGAGAAAGGGCAAGGAAAGGCTATTTGGGTTTTTTCCCCCACATATAGTTTAGAAAATGATCTCTTCCCCAAACAAAATTCACCAACAGACTTCAATATTAGAAAAGATACCAAGTTTTAAATGTCAATACAATGGTCTTTTATTCCCTGCCTTGTCTGTATTTTCTACTCAATTTGGGATTAGGGGATTCTGCTTTTTTTATGTGAAGCACTTGATGATGGTAGACCAGCGTAAAAGATCTGTTTAAAAGGAGAAATAATCTTTAGGCAAAGAGAAATCTTTAGATAAAAGTAAAATTTTATCTCTTTTACTTATTTAAAAATAAGTGAAATGAAAGGTACATTTACACATGTACACATGCAACACTAATATATATAGGTTTTTGGTTGGTGTTTAGTTTAAAATCAACTCCCTGTCCACCATCCCTAGATATTCTACTGATCATATTGCTTCATGAACACCTTAGTCATTTTTCACTTCGTGTTTTCTTTTTTATTTTTTTTAATCATGTCAAGAAATGCATTTGGAATTGAATGAACTATCTTCTAGGCTAAGGTACTCAAACTGAACTTTTGGCCATCCTTCACAGGAGAGCCTGGAAACTAAAGGGGGCCAGGGGCCATTTGACCAAAAAGAGGTGTTTGGTGGAGTATCTGCATTTCAAAGAAGAAAGCCAGATAGGTCATCACAATTCATTGTATCATTCTGATTTTTTTCCCTTTAATGTTTATGCAAATTTTATTTTATATTTCTGAATTTGGTTAGCACATACTAAGCCAAAGACTAATTCTAAATGCATTTATAGTGAATACTATATATGCCCATGGTAATGGGTCCTCTCTAAGGAGTGGTGAATGTAATTGTGTGAATCCTGCTTATCACAAGTGGTGCAATTTGGTCATAAACTTTATTTATATCCTGTATACATCTGAAGAACAGAGCAGAAAGACCTAAAAAAGGGCTTCTCATAGGAACAATATTAGTATATTGTTCTAAGGAATAAGTTGAGTGCTGTATTAGTTTCAGTGTTTCTGAAGTTCTAGGCAGCATTTTAAAATTAAGAAAAACATTGTGTATATCCATTAACTGATAAAATATACACATCCTTTCATTTGTTATCAGAAACATGAGTACTATTCCAATTTATTCAGCTTGTTACTCGAGAAATGGAACCAAAGGAATGCAACTTTGATCTTGTATAGAACTATACCTATTTATACTTCATGCTAGCATTATAAGAAATCAATCTTTTTTGTTTTAAAAAAGGGAAGATAAAATTAAAGATTCTTAGTGAGATTATCTTGCCAATTTGTTTTACATCTCTCATTCATTGTTGGGGAAAAAAGCACAACTATACCTCTTTAATGTTACTTTCTTCCATTATCCCTCATTTATTTGGAAAGATAAGGGAAACCTTGTCTGTATTATCCAGAAGCACAGATGTTTGCTTAACACAATATTTAAATTCAGCCCAATCTTTAACATTAAACAGTTTCCTTTTTCACTTGCTGGGAAAGTTGGATACATTGGCAAGTATAGGGAATTCATGTCAATTTTTATTTTATTTATTTATTTATTTATTTTTCGAGACGGAGTCTCACTCTGTTTCCCAGGCTGGAGTGCAATGGCACAATCTCAGCTCACTGCAGCCTCCACCTCCTGGGTTCAAGCGATTCTCCTACCTCAGCCTCCCGAGTAGCTGAGATTACAGGTGGCCACCACCGTGCCCAGCTAATTTTTGTATTTTTACTAGAGACGGGTTTCACCATGTTGGCCAGGCTGATTTTAAACTCCTGACCTCAGGTGATCCACGGGCCTTGGCCTCCCAAAGTGCTGGGGTTACAGGTGTGAGCCACCGCCCTGTCCTCATGTCAATTTTTTAAGTGATAAATCCTGGTATTATACATTGCAATTAGTGTAGAATAAATGGTTGGCTTACAGAGCTCTCTGTCCGTAGTCTAAAGCTGTTCCCAAACCAGGTCATCCTCACGAAACATTTTTGACCAAGAAGAAAGATAAGGTCATTGAGATAGAAAGACAGAGAAACCTCTTGCTTTTGTTTCTTCCCAAGAAGGGAAAAGCCCTGCCAGGGAGAAGTCAGTAGTATCACTGACTTACCCTATCACTGAGTGTAGGGTGTGGTAGCAAGGAGGAGGCAGGGACGTTGTGCTGACCGCTGGCTCTGGCCTGGTTCTTGGGAAGCCTTCCAAAGACCAGTCTGCAGTTTGAGGAAGGGCCCCCAACAATTCATTTGGAGAACTTGGCCAAGTGTTTTCTCATTAAATCAGCATCTCAACTTGATGAATTTAAGGTTTTTTATTCTTCAAATCCTGTTTATTAGAGTTGAAAACATTAAAAGATGACTAATACTAATGGAAAAAAATACTAAAGACCCAAAATTTAAAATTTTCCAAAATAGACAAGACAATGGGTTAATTCGCTCGTAATGGATATGAGTTCACGTTTATGTGAGTGTGTGTGAAAAGCATTTAATGTGTGATGCTGTTCATAGCCCTGGCTGTTGGACTCATTTTCAGTTTTCTAGCATTTTGAGAATGACACTTTATAAAATGGTAAATCTTTCTTAGCATTTACCTTCACTTTTGAGAAGGGAAAAAAATCCTTCTTTGCTGTTTCTGTAAGAAGAATAACTAAGATCAGCTATAGGTTTGCATGGATGGTGTACACAATACAAATGTAATCTTCGACAGGAATAGGATAAATTGCCTTCATCATAAAGGCTAATCATCTATTTCTTCATTCAAAGACATTAAATAGGACACCCCTGAGATTTCCAGTAAGGTATTTTAAAGGATCCCACTGGGTGGGAGGGCAGGGAATATGTTTTTTCTCAGAATTGTCCAGTTTGTACCCAGTTTTCTATATGGTTTTTGAACTGTAGCTTTTTAAATTTTTTTTGTAGTTTCTTCTAACTCTCCTTATTCTTTAAGTAGTTTCTTGTTTTGGCCCTTCTACTCTTGGCCTTTGCTAAAACCAGTAAACGTGAGTGAATTTTGTGTTGGTTATGTAATCTGGATCTCCTTTCCTTCCCTTCTTTCTCTTGTTGAATGGTGGTACCTTAATTTGGGTAACAGCTAGCTTCTGGCACCTTCATAAAATACCTCAGAATAGCTTAGCATTGTTGCAAAACTGGTTTTAAACTAAAAACCAAATAAAAGAAAAAACTTTATAAATAGTGGAAGTAATTCTAGCTGTAGCATTTAGTTGAACTAATGTTTATTACAATTGATAAACATGATTGATGCTGTATGTATTTGGGATCCTGTTTATAGGTTACAATTTATAGGGTTAGGGAGGGTTGGGTGGGGGAAGAGGAGAAGTTGATTATGTTAGAAGGAAAATGTTGCTCGTGTGTGTGTTTGTTTTTTCTTATATCTGTCTTGCCAAAGGAAACTTGATTTTCCCTGTGATTGGCTTTGGCCTCTCTGTGGTCTGATCTGCAGCAGTGTGTGGTGGCATGCAGGTAACATATGGGATATCCAGTAGGTTCAGGGAACCTGAGGGTGCATTTACATCCCTTCCTGTGGTTGCCCATGCCCCCTAGACCCTGCCAACCTCTCCTAATGATTTGTTACCTCTGTACATAGCAAAAGCATAGGCAAAGGATGAATGTGTGAATGCCTGGATACGCAGTTGAGAAATAGAGGCAGAAATAGACATGCACCAATTAAATTTGGAGCAAAGAGGTGAGTGATTAATGTGTCTTAAATCTAGGCAAGTTAAAGTGAAACAGGTTCTTTGTGTTACCGGTACTCTGTCAGGTTATTGAATGTTGTGCTAGTAACACAACATTTTAAAACCTTACTTACTTTTCTCGTACCAAGGCTAGTTCTGTGTAGACCAAAAACACAAACAGGAAAAAAGCAAACCAAGAAGTTGAAAGCTAACCTGCCCACCTCACCCCTGTGATACAAAGTGTGACCCTCAAGGATTGCTTAGTGGGATTGAGGAGAGAATTATTCTTGGTGGAGACATGAATGAGAAATGATGCTGGCTTAGGAAAAATTACAAGCCCTTTCTGCCCATATTGTGGAACAAACTTTCTTGGCTCCCTGAGTTCCCATGTAGACTGTATTTCCAGAAAGGCTATTTTTTTACATAAATGATCTCACAGAACTTAAGTGGGATTTGGTTTAGATACCAAAGACACTGCTAATGTCATTGCTTATCCTTAAGTTTTCAGAACAGACAGAGGGAATAGGAGCAAAAAGCCAAAATTTGGAAAAGCTTTACTTTATCTCTTTCCTTCCCCTTTCCCCTTTTCCCAGTCCCCTGCTTTGTGAAGGAAGTCTTCTTGGTTATCCTGGCTTTGGAAAAGAGATTTATTTTGTTTTGCTCTGCTGGCTCTTTAAAGATGGATAGTTGCTCAGTGTAGCAGTGATGTTCTTGGCATTGCTGAGAAATTTGGGGAGGGCAAAAGACAGGGGTAGGATTTTTTCATTACTTCCCTTTATCTAATACTTAATAAATAGAACCAATACAGCCTATATGAGTTCAGACAATATTTAGATTTGCTATCTCCATCTGTCTCCTGTAAAAGATAAGAATTTTCAAGAACAGGATTATGTGGAAAACCAACAGATCTTTCCTTACTCTCTGTAAATGTTTTGTTCCAGAATGTTTTTATATATGGGCTCTAGAGAGTCAAGTAGTTCATTGTTTCAGTGTACTATTGATAGGACACAGAAAGGGGGAGAGGGTAAAGAAATAGATTGCTCTCTGAATATTGCATTAAAAATAATCAGGTTGCAGAACTTCATAAAAGCTTTACTCTAATAATCTTATTGTTCTGACATTATGTAAAGGTGGTATTAATATTGTATGACTTTTCAAAGTGCTACATAGATTTATAAGTAGGTAATAGGGATGTTGAAGGTTAGAGCACTTGAAACAGAAGTTCTGGGGAAACAAGTTGTATGTAATGGAACACTACTTTGAGCACAGAATCAAAGGTCCCTTGGGTCTGGGAGGGAAGACGTGATTTATGATTGTTTCTGTTTTCCTGAATCTACCCACCCTGCACAGGGCTCCACCACCCAGTGCCACCTTCTGGTTTAAACCCAGGACATTGTCAGAAAGTTAACACCCCAAAACTAATTTACGTTAAAAAATGTTAAGGTCTGCTGCAAAGTTTTCCCATGTTTTCTTGGTTTACTTGTTCATCATTCTGTAAATTAGCCACAGCCTCACAAGAGCAGCTTAAGGCTTCTTTCATCAATTGGCAGCAGCATTGAGTTCTCAAACATTATATCCCAAAGTCTGCAGGCAGACAGCTGGATACAGTGCTGAGTTTCTTAAGATTGGGATCTCTTTCAAATGAAAAAGGACAGAGCCAAGCAGAGAAAAGACTGTGCTCCCACCCAGCCTTAATGAGTCTCATGGTCTAAAACCAGGAAGAAAAGAAATGCACTTTCAGAAGCTCAAATGACGGTGTCTGCTACAAAAGCTGTAGTTGTAGGCAGTGAGGGGTTCCATTCCTGCATGAGTGTGCAGAAGGCACACACTTTCTAAGAGTAGAGTGGACTAGTGCCAGCCTGGATGTGTTTAAAACTGCAAACAGTTGGCAAAAACAGGATAGGTTGGTGCAGGGAGCATAATAACATTGGCTTTTGACAACAGAAATGGTGTATCTTCCCTAAGGGCAGGCCAGGGAAAGAAAGATTTCCAGCTTCTTACCTCTGCGTACATGGGCACATGTGCATTGCTCAGTCCACAGGAGGTCTCACTCTGCAGGAAAAGCTCTCCTCCCACATTAGTCTGTCCTTCCGTCCCCTCATCTGTGGTCATAGTGAAGGCTAGGTAAGTAAGCGTGGGCTTTTCCACCCACCGGAAGTCCAGGAGCTGTTGTATACCTCATTTCTAACTCGTGACCGAGTGACTTGCTTTGACTTTCTTGAAACCCTACAGAGTTGCCAAGTCTGCCCTCCCTCCTCTCAGTCATGTTAAACTCTGGCCTATAGCATCATGGGACCTGTAGCCTAGGGTGGGACCCCCCTGAAGCTTCTGAATGTCGCTGCTTAAGAGCTACTGCAAACTGAGGGCAAATTGCAATCTTCTGTTCCTTTTTGTTGCAAGGGGTCTTCACAGGTCTCTTAACATCCGCTTTCCCGGCCACCCTGCCTTTAGGGGCTGGCCAGCTATCCACACCCCTACCCCACCCTGCGTTTCTGACAGCTGGCCACACGTCAACTTCCATACTTGCCTTTTCCTTGGTGGGGTAGAGGCCAACCCCTTCTCCTCTGAGGCCTCAGGGTTCTGTTTCTTTTCAGGACTTTGGGTAGAAGGGAAGACACCAAAGGCTCCTTTAAACTGACTGCTGCATACACATTTCATTTTTTTTCCTTTGACATGACCAAAAATATCCAAATATTTAAGTTTATTATTAATATTATTTGACAATCTTGTATCCAATGGGCTCTCTAGAAGCTGCATCCCCAGCCCTTTCACCTTTTCTTTGAATGTAGTTCCCAACCTTCAATTCCCACCCCTCATGCTGACAAAAAGCTTAGCCAGGTCATGATACTGCTGCTATAAGCCAGGGGAGGGTGGTTTCTTTGTTTTGTTTTGTTTTGTTTTGTTTTTAAAATTTCCAGCCAAAACCAAAGATTTCTTAATGATTGTATAAACTCAAAACAAACAAAAGAACCAAAGAAAAGGGAAGTCTTCAGCATCAGTCCAGTCTGTGGTGTCCTGGCAGTTGGAAGAGTGAGGCCAGGGAAGGTGGGCGCCCTCTGACCGGATCAGAAAGGGCAGGCAAGCTGTTTTCCACCTTCCAGAGTCCTCACAGGTGCATGCCCCTAGCTTTGGCCCTCGAAAACTTGTGAGCATGCCCTGAAACAAATTGGCATTTCAAATTTTCCAAAACAAAAGTCAAAAAATCCCATCACCACCATCATCCACCCTACACCAACGGGGTCACTATGGGGACTTAACACAGGGCCTCAGGAGGGTGGGAACTGCTGGACTGGCCCGAGGACTCCACAGAGTGGGGGACGTTGAAGACACTGGTGCACGATTGGCTGCTCTGCTGGGTGCTTTAACCTCTGGGGCTGGGCGAATGCACGCCAAGGTGCCCTTCTGAGCCTTTTTTCTCTTTTCCTTTACTGGAACTGCTTGGAAGTGGCTGTCCTGTGAGAAAACATGCAGAACGATTAGCAAGCTTTTCATTTCCCTTGTTTTGTTTCCTTTTTGCAGCACCACTGTGCAACTATGCATTGTACTTCACACCTTTTGTGCTAGGTAGATGCCTGTGACTTTTTAAACTTGGGGGGAGGGGGGGTTGCAAATGAAGGAACTTTTTACATGGATCTTTTTAATCTCAGTTGATTGGGGGAGGGGGGTACTTGGTTCTTGGGTCATACAAGCTCTATCCCAAAGCAAAATCCAAATGTTAATAATATTAGCCTGATGCAGATACCAAAGATAATTTCTTTCCTGCAGAACCTTAGACTTGTGTATTAAGTACGATTACCCAGCACTTGCATTAGTCTAACCTCAGTAATTCCAAAGCTTAGATGTATATTTTGGTATATTTCTGGGATATTAAAAAAAAATGTCGTTTAACTTCTTGTTTCAGTGTAATGCTCTTAAAGTCGTAGCATGAAAATAATTGAACCTGTCCTATTCTTAGTAGTTTGAAATAGTATTTTTGTATGTTTTGGGTGTGTCTATGTATGTATTAACATAACAGTTTTCACTGCCTAGGTGTTCATGAAAAAGAAAATGAAACAGTTCTGAGTGTACATAATATTCAGTAATAATCTCCCACCAGGTGTCAATTTAGATTGCATATTCCTCATTACTGTTCGTTCCCAACGGGGATTTTGTTTTCTTTTAAAGAGACAGTGATCGTGTCTTTCTAAAGATGTTTTGTTTTAATATCTTAACTTTTTCTTTTCTTCCTTTTTTGTCTTAATTATTAATTCAGGGGTGTTTGTCCACTGTTGTCAAGGGAAGGGAACAAGGGGAAGTGGCCCCTTGGCCTCCGAGAACTTTTTGTTTTATGTACTTTAAAATGTGAGTTTGAGTTCTTCTTTGTGGAAACTTAAGATGTGGTGTAAATGATTCTTTCCGAAATTGTCCAGCAGCTTTAATGAGGCAGTGACAATTCTGAGGTGGTTTGTTGGGAGTCCTTCTACATTTCTCTTAGATAACTCTGCACTCTGGGTGGCTATTGTGTAGCCATACTGGCCCAGAGCGCCTGTTAGCCAAATATTTCCCCTCTGATAGGAATATTTTCTAAGAATCAGCTGATAACTTGGTGTGCTGGACCTTGTTATCTGTGCCCCTGGGAAACATGTTTTCTTGGTTTTGAAAACCTGAAACACAGGCAACTTTACATTTTGGGGAATTAGCTGATGCCTCCTGAGGCTTGAGGAGGTGGCGGGGAATATGAGCGGTGCTGTCTCTCTCAAAGTGCCCTTTAGATGATTCCCCTCCTAGGGCTGCCTGCAGGGGCTGTAGGCTTGGGAGAGATTGTGTAGGTGACAGTGAATCAGAATGAAATGGTAGATTTTTGTGTAGATGCATTTGTCTGCTGTAATTTTTTATATATATTAAACTTACTGTAACTGTACAGTTCCTTTCTGTTGTAAAACATCATTAAACCATTTTCCAAGTGTTTTGACATTGTTGGAGTTTCTTTTAAGTTGCCGTGTTGGTATTCTGGATGCTTCACACACACATTCTCAGACTCTTCGCATAATTCAGCTCCCAAATTATTTTTTCCAAGTGCTCTCAGGAACCCCAGAATCACCACAAGCTTGGTTCCTGCCCCACCACACCCTGCCTTTTACCCTTCAGGCTTCCTCACCTTTTGTGAGGGAAACTGACTTTTGTTCTCCATCCCTTCCTCACCTTGTGCACGGAGACATTTCACACTGTGGCGTCAACTGCTGTGCATAACTCCCAGACACCCTCTGCTCACGTGCTGCCTATTCTCACGCCCGACTGCCAGGCTGGCCTCTCCTGCTTGTTTTCCTGCACCCTACAAGCTGGCACCGTGCTGCGGGGCTCCTTTCCCATAGCCCTCTCTGGTTCTGGCACAAGCCTGGGCCAGTACTGACACATTGTATTGCACGGAGCCCCACTCTAAGGCGCAGCTACCCAGCCTGGATGCCCAGCTCACTTGCGCTGTGTGACGCTGCCTCCAAGGATGCACCTGCGCTCACGTGCTGGTTCCCAGGAACTGTCCTGTTCTTTCCCAAGAATCAGTGGTTCTGCTCCTCTCTTCCCCCAAGGGCAGCCTGCTGATTGATGACTAAATTGCCATTACAAGCTTGACTGCTGAAATAAAGCTTGTAAAGCTGCATTTCCACTGAAGCATTTATTTATTATGCAAGACAGGAAGGCTTTAGCATGCCAGTATAAATTAAAACAGTAGAAAAAAGGCAGAGCAGAGAGCGTTTTTCATCCATGGCCTGTGACCTGTAATGACACAGCAGTGTCCCAGTACTCTGGGGTTTTTCCTGTCCTGCCACTGTCTGCGGGGCAGTTACAGGTCCCATGGTGCCGGGTCTTCCTGCGAGGCCTTCGCGATGATGGTTTTGTCATTTACCAAAAGCCTGAGGTGAATCAAGGGCCTTCTCTTGCTCTCAGGCACCTTGTTCACACCGTGGAACCAAACTGTTCTCTATACCACTTTGTGCACAGCTCAGCAAGGTCAGTCTTGTTCATCTTCCAGCCCCCATAGCACGTGGCAGTTCAATGGTGTGGCACAGAGGCCCCAGGCAGGGAGACCCCCCACCCTGCTGCCCTCGCAGGCCCTAGCTGAACCTCCCCTGCCTGCCCACCTTCCCATGCCCCTGCAGCTCCCTGGCTGCACCTGACCTAGGCTCTCTTCCTGTCCACCCCACTGCCTGGCCCTCTCACCAGGGAGGGAGGTGCAACATGACCCAGTACAGTTACCTTGAAAGGAGGTGGTGATAACAGAAGCCAAATTTACAGCCAGGGTGAAGCCACTCAAACATTGACAAGATGATACAGATATTAGGTAGGGCAAGTGCTAGCATCTGTGGTTTCTCTGGGGATTTTACAAAACAGACTCAACTTAGCTGTGAGAGACAGCATGCCCGCCTCCCAGGGAGAACACGTAGCTGCCAGGAGACAGGTCTGCCTGCACCACTGGCAAATCAGGCCCAAGGCCAGGGCTGTGAGCCCTGGGGCACACATTCCCTTAAAGAGTGCGGGGACAGCAGTCTGTGTGATGTTTTGGAGCTGAATATGACCAAAGCATCCTGCACATAAAGAGGAATACGTTCATGGCTGAGATGAGTGAACCGGGTTGTAAATGCTTTATCCTGTGTCTCATAATCTGGGAATCTGCAGGTCTGGCCTTTCAGTGGTGAAATACTCTGGCTGTTAGCGAGGGGGCAGGGCCTGCATGTGAAGGGCGTCGTAGGTATCCTTGGTGGCTGTACTGAGTCCCTGGAGAAAGCAAATCAGAAAAGAAGAGTGGGTCAGCAGCCTCAGTGGGCAGAGGCCAACAGGTATCTGCAGCACAGCCCCGTGGCCACCCACCCAGCCTCCGGAGGACCAGGAAGAGTCCCACCAACCCCACTGGCGGGAGCCTTGGCTGCGACAGCTTCGAGAGGTGGGTTCTGTGCCTTGCTGGAAATGGCTTTGCTGCAGCTCCTTTCCAGCTCAGTTCTCACCCCTCTTTTTAGCTCCTCAAATTCTGTGCCTTACAGTGGCTTGGGCCCTGCCAAGTTCATGTCACACCTAAGAGAGAGGAGTCCCCCACCTTCTGTGCTGGGCAGGAATCAGGGGAAGGGCCCGGGTCTGCTCCAGAGCATCTGCTGTCCCTGATAGCTGGGCCCAAAGGAAACCTGGACTTGTCACAGGGAGAGGAGGGCTCCTTCCCAGGTCCAGCTATCCCAGTGTTCTTTTGGTCAGGAACAGGCCCACAAGGCTGGCCCCAGACCTGCTGGAATTCCTGTCTCCCTGGTCCAGGGGCCAGGAAGGAGACGGATCAACAGCAGCCACACACAGGTAAGTTCCTGGGGCCCTTTCGATACCGCTCAACTCAGACAAGCTGGGCATCCTGACACTGGAGTCAGAAGAGCAAGCTATGACAGCCCATGGAAGCCAGAAGGAGAGAAATGAGAACCTGCGGGGATCATACTTTAGAGAAGTAGGTTGACTGCTTAGTTTGCATAATTACTTGCACTGATTTGCAAAAACCAGGCACCTAAACTACATAACGTTTTCTTTTTGAAGTTGCCATTTCTTTTTTCCTTCAGTCTTCCCAGCCATCCTCTCATCTTTGTAGGTCTAAGGAAATGACACAGAGCAAGGGTTCTGCAAGGACCCAAAAAGGCAGGATCATCACTCGTGTGGTCCTTTGCCTCCACCTCCACCTGCCAGGGGGCCTCGCACCTCTGGACAGCTGCTGCTGTGTCTGCCATGGCCAAACAATGCATGTAATTTGATTGAACCAAGTAATTTGATTGAATGGCTGAGTCCCAGCTGTGCTCTAGAGACTTATTGGCAGTGGCATTGCCACTGGCCTGAATGGGTGCCCTGAGCTTGCCCTGCCCAGCTGCTGGCAAGAGCTGGCAAAGTGTGGGGGCCTTGATCATGGTGCCCCTTCCCCGGAAGGGACACCGGCAGCTCCTACCTGGTAAAGGCCATCGTGCCCCTTGCCCCTCCGGCGCTGGTTCTTTGGGAGTGAAATGAGAAAAGGATGAGAAAGTCAGGCAGTCAATAGTGGCATTTCTGCTCAAGGGCTCCTCCCAAGGTACCCAGGAAGTCTGAGATAACTGTCTCCCAGCATCACCCCTGCCCCTGGGAGAGACAGATCCTCGGGCCACTGGTCAGACCCTCATCTCTGCTGCGTAAAGTGAGGCCTGGCAGGTTTGCTCCACCCCACTCAGATCCTCACAGCCAGCAGATTCCTAAGGTCTAGGGCCCGCAGGACCTATGTTGCCCACTGCCTGCTTGGATAAATGGACTCTCTTCAGCTCTTAAAGTTCTTGTCTAGTCATTTCTGCTAACTGACAACCACTGTTTTGACCAGTTACGAGCTCTGGCACAGTCAGTTCAATCACGCTCCCCTGTTTACCAGCTGTAAGACCTTGGGTAAGTCACTTCATCTCCGTGTGCCTCCTCGAAGGGCACATGATTCTCATTGGGTTACTATGGGAATTAAATAAAACTACGGAGAACCCCTGCTCTGAAGGGATCAATGCTTCACTCTCGCCATTCTGAAATTCTTAATTGTTGGTGAAGAAGGGGTCCCATGTTTTCATGTTGCCCTGGGACCCGTGGTCCTGAGCACGGAGCACGGCCACACGTAGTAAGCACCTGGTGCTTCCTGTTATTAAAACAGACCTGCTTTTGCAAAGCTGAGGCTGTCACAGAATCTCTATTTGGTTTTCAGTCCTCAAAGAGCATCAGCCCTTCCTTGGTTTCTTACGTTCTGACTGGGTGACAGCCAGGTTCGCCTTCACTGATGGCCACCACTTGGGCATTTGCAGCTGGGATGAGAAGTGGGTGGGAAAGGAGGCCTGCAGCAGCAGTGTCTGGAGGACCATGAAGAACTTCCTTGGGAATTAGGAAACAACAGCACTCACCTCGCCTTTCATCCCGATCTCACTGTAGGCCTCTGCCATCTTATCTTTCTGCAGTGCCTGAGGAAGAAGAGGGCATGGGGCACTGATTTTCACCAACTAATGCAGAAAGCAGCAAGCTCCCCTACAAGAGGAAGCTTCTTGATCCCCAAGTCGGCAGCAGTGGCAGGGAGGGAGAGCTCCCACAATCAAGGCTCCAAACCTGATGCACACAAACTTCTCTGCCCACAACCAGCTCCAGTCCACCCACCTCGTCCTCCCCCCTTTGGAGTCTCTGCGCTGCTAGCCCTCTGCACTGAGCTGAGGAGCTCAGGTTAGGCTCAGAAAGATAGGATGTGGAGTTCTAGACAAAGACACGGAGACTGGACAAAACAAGGGCTCACCTGGAGCCCCAGCATCATTGATCTGAGCAAGTTGTCTCTACACAGCCAAACTCACCGGCTGTGGATCAACCCCCCCTCCTCACGGGAGACTGCAAGGGTCCCCTGCAAGGCAACCCAGGTCAACAATCAGGGGCACACCCAGGAGGGTGAGGTTGACCTTCCAATAAGGGGGGACACTCAGAAGACTTAAGCACCAAGGACAGGAGACCCTCCAAGGGACCAACCCCTCGCTCTTGCCCAGCTTGACCTTGCTGTGTCCCCCTACGCTCCAGGCTGATTGACCCGGGAATGCCAGTAGCAGGGGTTGGGGAGGGAGATCACTGGGCACTTTTTAGCTAAGGAGCCTTTCTAGAAGCAGATACTGCTGCAAGCCGCAAGAAATGAGACATTACTCCCCCCAGGAACGGACGGTCTGGACAGACCTAGACCACGGAGTGTGGAGCAACGCCTTCCTCCGCAGCCCTCCTCTGGCCCTTCCTCCGGAGCCCTTCCTTTCCCTCCTCTGGCGCCCTTCCTCCAGAGCCCTCTTCCGGCGCCCTTCCTCCGCTGCCCTCCCTCCAGAGCCCTCCCTCCAGAGCCCTACTCCGGCACCCTTCCTCAGGCGCCCTTCCTCCAGAGCCCTTCCTCCAGAGCCCTTCCTCGCCCTCCTCCGGCGCCCTTCCTCCAGAGCCCTTCCTCGCCCTCCTCCGGCGCCCTTCCTCCGGCACCCTTCCTCGCCCTCCTCCGGCGCCCTTCCTCCAGAGCCCTTCCTCGCCCTCCTCCGGCGCCCTTCCTCCAGAGCCCTTCCTCGCCCTCCTCCGGCGCCGTCCTCCGCGCCCTTCTCCAGAGCCCTTCCTGGCCCTCCTCCGCGCCCTTCCTCCAGAGCCCTTCCTAGCCCTCCTCCGGCGCCCTCCTCTGCCCTTCCTGGCCCTCCTCCGCGCCCTTCCTCCAGAGCCCTTCCTAGCCCTCCTCCGGCGCCCTCCTCCGCCCTTCCTGGCCCTCCTCCAAGCCCTTCCTCCAGAGCCCTTCCTAGCCCTCCTCCGGCGCCCTCCTCCACCCTTCCTCCAGAGCCCTTCCTAGCCCTCCTCCGGCGCCCTCCTCCGCCCTTCCTGGCCCTCCTCCAAGCCCTTCCTCCAGAGCCCTTCCTAGCCCTCCTCCGGCGCCCTCCTCCACCCTTCCTCCAGAGCCCTTCCTAGCCCTCCTCCGGCGCCCTCCTCCGCCCTTCCTGGCCCTCCTCCGAGCCCTTCCTCCAGAGCCCTTCCTAGCCCTCCTCCGGCGCCCTCCTCCGCCCTTCCTCCAGAGCCCTTCCTAGCCCTCCTCCGGCGCCCTCCTCTGCCCTTCCTGGCCCTCCTCCGCGCCCTTCCTCCAGAGCCCTTCCTAGCCCTCCTCCGGCGCCCTCCTCCGCCCTTCCTGGCCCTCCTCCGAGCCCTTCCTCCAGAGCCCTTCCTAGCCCTCCTCCGGCGCCCTCCTCCGCCCTTCCTCCAGAGCCCTTCCTAGCCCTCCTCCGGCGCCCTCCTCCGCCCTTCCTGGCCCTCCTCCAAGCCCTTCCTCCAGAGCCCTTCCTAGCCCTCCTCCGGCGCCCTCCTCCACCCTTCCTCCAGAGCCCTTCCTAGCCCTCCTCCGGCGCCCTCCTCCGCCCTTCCTGGCCCTCCTCCGAGCCCTTCCTCCAGAGCCCTTCCTAGCCCTCCTCCGGCGCCCTCCTCCGCCCTTCCTCCAGAGCCCTTCCTAGCCCTCCTCCGGCGCCCTCCTCTGCCCTTCCTGGCCCTCCTCCGCGCCCTTCCTCCAGAGCCCTTCCTAGCCCTCCTCCGGCGCCCTCCTCCGCCCTTCCTGGCCCTCCTCCGAGCCCTTCCTCCAGAGCCCTTCCTAGCCCTCCTCCGGCGCCCTCCTCCGCCCTTCCTCCAGAGCCCTTCCTAGCCCTCCTCCGGCGCCCTCCTCCGCCCTTCCTGGCCCACCTCCGAGCCCTTCCTCCAGAGCCCTTCCTAGCCCTCCTCCGGCGCCCTCCTCCGCCCTTCCTGGCCCTCCTCCGCGCCCTTCCTCCAGAGCCCTTCCTAGCCCTCCTCCGGCGCCCTCCTCCGCCCTTCCTAGCCCTCCTCCGGCGCCCTCCTCCGCCCTTCCTAGCCCTCCTCCGGCGCCCTCCTCCGCCCTTCCTAGCCCTCCTCCGGCGCCCTCCTCCGCGCCCTTCCTCCAGAGCCCTCTTGCAGACTCTCCTCCAGCCCCTCCTCCAGACCCCTCCTCTGGAGCCCTTCCTCCAACTTTCCAAAGTCAAATGTGACATCTCCTCTACTTACATTGTACAGGCCTTCCTGAGGGTTCTTCCTTCTCTGCTAGAAAAGACAAAGGGAAGACGTTAGAGGGAGAGAAACACAAACCCAAGCCTTGAAAGTACAGCAAGCCCCATCCTGCCCTCCCTCACCGACCACAACCCCCTGGGGCTCTGCTATCTTTCTCTCTCCTCCTTGTGCTACCCCAGCCTTGCCTACGCCACTGTTGGGGTCCGACTGCATTACATGGCTCATACTTGGTTACCTGCAGTTGGATACACACTTTGCTCTCCCAGGGGGCACACCCAACCCCAGCATCGCCCAGAGCAGGCCATGGCGACGCCCGTAGATTATCCATCCCCTTGCAGACAGACCCCCATATACATCACAAGCTGGCAAGTGGGACTTCTGGTGGAAGACAAAAGGTGCCGCATACTATCATGTGGAGCAGGCTCAGCTACTGCTAGTGAGGTCCTTCCCACACCCTCCTAGTCCAGACAAGAGGAGAGGAGGCCAGATAAACTTGGACGGTGGGGGTGAGGAGTGGTCAAGGAAATCTACAGCTTCTCTACTGCCCATTCACTCTAGGAAGAGCAAAACCAGCAAGGGCTCAGCCTGGATGGGGGCTGGATGGACAGGCGTGACCACTGGCAGCATCAGACAGCACTGCCCTTACACCAGGACAACCCTGGCCTTTGTCCTGAGCCCTGCTCTTAAGAGGATGCTAACAAGCCAAATTTAACAACGCATTACATCATTCACTGTGATCAAGTGGGATTTATCTCTGGGATGCAAGGATGGTTCAGCAAATGAAATCAATAAACATGATATCCCACATTAACAGAATGAAGAAAAAACGTCATGATCATTTCACTAGACGCAGGAAAAGCATTTGACAAAACTCAACATCCTTTCATGCTAAAAACTCTCAACGAATTAGGTATAGAAGGAATGTGCCTCCACACACTCAAGTCCACATCTGAGCAATCCACAGTTAACACCACACTCAGCAGGCTAAAGCTGAAGCCTTTCCTCCCTTTCTTCTAAGATCTGAAACAAGACAAAGATGCCCATGCTCACTACTTCTATTCAATATAGTACCATAGGTCCCAGCCAGACAATTAGCAAAAGGTGCCAAGAATATGCGGTGGAAAGTGAATGGTCTCTTTAATAAAGGTATTGGAAAAACTGGATATCCACATGCAAAAGAATGAAATTGGACCTTATCTCACATCATATACAAAAACCAACTCAAAATGGACGACAGACTTAAAACACAAGACCTGAAACTGTAAAACTTCTATAATAAATCAGAGGTGAATAGACATTTCTCAAGACATAAATGGCTAAGAGATACATGAAAAAAATGCTTAATGTCACTGACCACTGGGGAGATAAAAAGTAGCCACTTGCCGGCCTGGTGGCTCACACTTGTAATCCCAGCACTTTCGGAAGCAGAGGCGGATCACCTGAGGTCAGCAGTTCGAGACCAGCCTGACCAACATGGAGAAACCCCGTCTCTACTAAAAATACAAAATTAGCCAGGTATGGTGGCACGTGCCTGTAATCCCAGCTACTCGGGAGGCTGAGGCAGGAGAATCCCTTGAACCCAGGAAGTGGAGGTTGCAGTAAGCTGAGATTGTGCCATTGCACTCTGGCCTGAGAAACGAGAGTAAAATTCTGTCTCAAAAAAAAAGGTAAAACCACAATGAGATCACCTCACACCTGTCGGGATGGCTATTACCAAAAAGACAAAAGACAACGATTGTTGGCAAGGATGGAGAGAAAAGAAAACCGTAGCACACTGTTGGTGGGAATGTAAATGAATACCAGCATCATGAAAAACTGTATTAAGGCTACTCAAAAAACTAAAAACAGAACTACCATGTGACCCAACACTCCCACTTCTGGGTATTTACTCAAAGATTTGAAGTCTGTTTGTTGAAGAGATGTCTATACTCCCATGTTGGCTGCAACAGTTTTAACAATAACCAAGTTATGGAATCAACCTAAGATAAAGAGGACTGTGGATATGCACAATGCAATACTATTCAGCTTTTAAAAAGGAAGAAATTCTATCATTTGCTCTAACATGAATGGAACCAGAGACCATCATTCGAAGTGAAATAAGCCAGGCACAGAAAGCCAAACACTGCATGTTCTCACCTGTATGTAGAATCTAAAATAGTTTAACTCACAGAAGTATGGATAAGTAGCATGATGTTTACCAGAGGCGGGGGAATGGGGGGAATGGGGGGAATGGGGAGATGATAGTCACAGGGTACAAAACCTCAACTAAATAGGAAGAGCAAATTTATTTTTAGATCAATGGCATGGCATGCTGAAGATAGCTAATACTTGAGTACTATTCATTTTAATATCTCTAAGAGTAAATGGCTAATATCCTCATCACAAAAAAATATTTGAAGTGATAAATATGTTAATCATTTCATATATTCAAAAATCATAACAATAAACATATCTACAATTTGTCAATATACAGTAAACAGAGAGAGAAAGACAGAGGAAGGGAGAGAGGGAGGGAGGGATGAAGGAAGAAAGGCAGGAAATCAGAATGAAGTGGAAAAAACAAAGAGGACGCTACTGTGGTCTCATCCAGCTGCTCCCCTACCCACAGGGTAGAGTCTACAAAGCCCAGAGGTCAGAGCCCCAGGGACCACACTCCAGCCATACTCCAGAGGGGTACCCAGGACTTGTCCAGGGGTCTTGGGCCCTTCCTGTGTGGACCTCTTCACCAGGTCTGTCCTCCTGTGACAGATGGTGCCACCAAGTGTGTATCTCAGGATGGCCAAGGAGTGGGTGGAGCTTAGACATGAGAGAGGGGTGCCACATCCAGGGGTGAAGCCCCTTGAGATGCAGAATGGAGCCAAGGAGGAAGAAAGAGGATGTGGCAGCAAGTGGGTCTCCCTCTCTTCTCTTATCCTGGGCCCACACTTTGAGGGTCAAGTCTGGTTGCAGGGTGAGCTGGGGCTGAGAAGTCCTCTCCTGCAGCCTGGGCTCAGCCCTACCACACACGCAGGAACACACAGGAAGACAGAGGAACCCTTACCTGCTTTCCCCCCATCTCAGGGTCCCGGCCCCGTCTCTTGTCCAAAACATCGTACTCCTCTCTTCGCCCTAGATTGAGCTCCTAAAAGAGACAACAAAGTGTGAGACACAGGACAGAGGAGCCTCAGAAGGATGGGGCCAGCTGGACTGGGGAGTGTGGTTTCCCTCTCTGGGGTGGCTCACAAAAAGAAGGGCCAGGGCTGGGAAGGGAGTGATAACAGGTTCATCTGGAGACCATCATCATGTGTCAGAGAACACGCACTACCAGGACGGTGGGTGGGATCCCCAAAGGTCACCAAGTACTATATGCTGATCAGTCCAACAGGATAAGGAACAACATCCCTGTGAGCAAGTAGAGAAGCTGGGGCTCTGAGGTGGTGGTCAATTCCACCGCAGTCCCATGGCACAGGGAGGGTAACACCACTTTCCCCCAGCTGGGAAGATTCTAACACATTCCTTCTCCACCCTCTCTGGCTTTTGCAAATTGCTGATGGCTTGGGGGCTCAATAGTGGCAGGCACGATACTAAGCTCCTTCCATGCTTCCATACTAAAGCATGTTATCCTTATGGCGCCCTTTGAGACAGGTACAATTACTACCCCTGTTTTACAGGTTATAAAACTGAGTTAAACAAGTTGCAGTTGGGTCAGAGGTGATAGCTGGGGACCAGACCTAAACCCGGGACTCTGGTGGGTGTGTTCCCTACGTCCGAGAAGGGGACTGCCCTTTCTTTCCGGGAGGGTCTGCGGTGAGGCTGACTTACGTTATAGAGTTGGTTCTGGCCCTGCTGGTACACGGGGGCGTCTGCGCTCCTGCTGAACTGAGACACAGAGAGCAAAGCATGTTACTGCTCCGCGAGGGCGCGCGGCAACCCGAGGGACAGGCCTAATCTGCTCCTTGGCAACTAACAATGTGTGCCCTGCCTCCTGGGGCCTGAGCCCTTGCAGTGGCCGGGGCGTGGCAGCCCCTTTTTCTGAGCTCAACTGTCCTTTTTCCTCCCGCTGCGACATGTGCATCCAACCCACTGGAGTTTATTCTTCCCGGGCTAGCGCCCTCGCGTGTGCGCAGAGGTGTAAGATTCTTGGTCTGTGCCCCCTGGGGACGTGGAGTATTTTCTAGGGTCCCTTCCTCCAGGAACTCCGAGGACAATCAGGGTGGATGGCGGCTGCTCAACGTCTGGCCTCCTATCTTGACCCCCGGGGCAGGATGCTATACGTGCATCACTCGCCCAGCCCTCTGCCACCTCCCGGCTGCGCCAGTGTCCAGGAAGCCTTGGGCTCACTTAGTGTCCTCAGCAACCGCTGGAAGCTGACACAGCCTTACTCTTGCTTCAGTTCATGCCGCCTCGGCCAGGAGAAGCTGCAAGGTCTTACAGATCCAGAGCATTGGAAACAACCTTAGAAATCACCTAGGGTAGCGTTTTCAAACTTAAGAAAGTAAGATTTGGTTTCAAATAAAATCTTATGCCAAAGTCCAAAATAAGCAAGAAATGGGTTCGGGAGCACCGAGGGATGACTGGGACTAGATCCTCCCCTTTACTCCTAAATCCTTCCACCCTCTGCCCACACCATGACCAGCCCCACCAAGCAAAAACCCATGCTCTGGCCCACTCTCCCAAGTACAGATGAGGAAGGAGGCTTTTCAAGAGAACGGCTGCCATGGCCTTCATTCACACTGAGACAGCAGGGTCTCTGCCTGAGTGTAAGCCCCTTTGTCTCCAGCAGTATCGCCTTCTCTGAGACACTCTGACGTGCACACATTTGTATGGCTCATCATGGAGGTGCCTAGCACCAGGCTCTCCCTCCCACCCTGTTTATCTCAGCCAGACACCCCCACCTCCTCCTCAGCCCATGCAAGGCACACACTTGGCTGGTCCCTGCTTTGCTCCTGGATACCAAGCTCCAGGCACCACCCAAGCTTGAAACTTTCCAAGACCAAGGACCCTCTGAATATCCATCAAGTGGGAGACCCCGTGCCCTCCTCCCAAAGCCCAGTGGTACCCACCTTCACTCTCAGGAACAGGGCAGTAACAATGACACCATAGATGAAGAGGATTCCATCCAGCAGGTAGCAGAGTTTGGGATCCAGCAGGCCGAAGCTCTGTGCCTCTGTGTCAAGAGATAAAGCCATTCAGCAAGGCCCAGGGTGACCAGAACACAACCCCATCACTCCGGGGTGGCAGTAGGACTGACTGTGGCCAAAGAAATTATGACACAGAGACCAGATCCAATCCCCATGCCTCAGCCTGATCACCACCCCCTCCCTCCCTCCCACCTCAACCAGCTCCTGGAAAAGCCATTGGCACTAATGGCAGATGTGGCTGCTGTGGGGCCAAAGAACCTGGGGCAATGGGAGGAGTGGGAACAAAGGGGGAAGGTGAGGCTGTCCTCTGTTCACAGAGCTCCTGCCTCTGGGACATGGAAGTGCAGCCATGTTAGCCCCTGTGAGAACCAAGAGCTCTGGAAGCCTCAGGAAGATGTTCTCGTCTGGATGAATGGAACTCCTGGCCTGAGATGTGTGGCTCCGGGGCCTACCCACAGGGAGACAATAGGTCAAATGATGGTCAAATGAGACCATTTCAATATCTAACAGTAACTAGGACAGGGAGAATCTGGGTTAACTCTCCCCCACTCCCTGCCTCCTCAGTGCCAGGTACTCTCACCCAGGACAGTGGGTCTGGTGCTCAGCTTCCCTTCCCTGTGCCCTGAAGGGTCTCATGGGCAACAGACAGAGGTACCTTTGGTGCCTCTCCCCACCTAGGTGAGCATCTCCCTGCCCCCCAGTCCCAGCTCCCTGGCCTCTGCCTTCTCTTGTCTCCCCTCCTCCCACTACACACGCCTCATTCCCGGGACACGCCCTGCTCTTTGGGACTACTGGCCTTGCACACATTGTTCCCTCTTCAGATTCCCTCCATTTCTCTCCCTGAAACCCTACTATTCAGTGACATTTGATGCATCCTACAAACTGCAGCTCAGAGGTCCCTTCTGTGTCAGCCTCTCCCACTGCAAATTTCCAAGGGGTCCCGAACTCCTAGTGCCATATTAACCTTTGTCAGGCTGTAGTCATGCATGTTTAGTGGCCCTGCCATTGAAGTACAATGGGCTGGAGAACACAAGGTACAGTAAATATTCTGGTTAAATACAAGTTTGCATTTTTAGGCTGGACGAAGTGGCTCATCCCTGTAATCCCAGCATTTTGGGAGGCTGAGGCAGGCGGATAACTTGAGGTCAGGAGTTCCAGTCCAGCCTGGCCAACCTGGTGAAACTCCATCTATACTAAAAATACAAAAATTAGCCAGGAGTGGTGGCACACACCTGTAATCCCAGCCACTCTGGAGCTGAGTCAGGAGAATCACTGGAACCTGGGAGGCAGAGGTTGCAGTGAGCCAAGATCGCATCACTGTACTCCAGCCTGGGTGACAGAGTGAGACTCTGTCTCAAAAAAAAAAAAAAAAAGAAAAAGAAAAAGAAGTGTTTTTATTTGAAACATCTCTGCACTGTGAATGAGGAGACTCAGATTTTAGTCTAGACCATATGTCCTACTAGGTAAAACATGCAGCTACTCAACCTGTAAAACAGGGTATGGCACCCATCTCACTCCAGCCCTGCCTGGTACTAGAGCAGAGGTCCCAGGCCAGCCCCTCCAGTGTCTGTCTCCCGAGACCCGGGCGCCCTCTGGTGGCCGTCAGACACAGATTAGGGCAGAGGGAGTGGAGACCATGTGGGAGTGCTGTCATTCTTGCTAGCTGAGTGATTTGGGGCAGGTGACGTACCCTCTGTCAGCTGCGTCACCTGTTGAACAGGGTGAAAACTAACATTTCTTCAGGCACTGCATTAAAAGTAATCTTCGTCAGATCCTCCTGCCACCCACGCTCGGACACTGAGGCACCGAGGCTTCAGGTTCAGAGCACACAGTGAGAGGCAGTGCAGGACTGATCCCTGGCAGTTCCATCCCCTTCCTGCCCCTGGGCCAGCCCCGCCTACCCCTCCATGCCAGCAACGTTTTGGCCTCCCCGACGAGTCATGGAAGCAGATGATTCAAAGGCAGCCCCAGCACCCACACCCCCACCACCCTGAATCCCTCTGTCCCCAAGCTTTTGACTTCAACCCTAATTCAGGACCCCTCTTGCCCCCAGGCAGCTGATCTCTGCAAACTTCCCACAGACTCTGACCAGAGACCACTGATAACCCAGCCACTCCGACAAGAGGCCAAACTCCTTGTCCAGCGTGTTAGGGTCTGCCATCACCAGTCCAGGACTGAGAAGACCACACCTTAGTGCCACCCGGTCTCTCCTGCTCCTGTCTTTTACACCCCATTCTTCCTTGAACATCTGCCTTTTGAGCCAGATCCTCTTCTAGGTCTGCACTCTACCCCTTCACTCAACGCCTGTTGAAATCAGACTGTCCACCACCTGAGCCCCGGAGGAAAACATGAGAGGATGTCAGTTCAAGAGGCTGTATCCCTCAAAGCCCTCTACGAACGTAACTTATGGGACTCCGATGCCCTCCATCCAGGCTGTAAACACCCAAGACCAACGGCTGCATCTTCATTGTTGCCTCTTCCTCCAGCCCTGGCGTCAGAGTGAAGGGCACAGTCACTCGATATCACAGAATTTTTCAGAGCTGGGCTTCAGCGATGCGGAAGATGCTGGGCCCAGCCCAGGTGTGCCTGCCCTCTGGCCCCAAGGCAGTGCTGGCAGCCTTCACGGACCTAGGGAGGATCTAAAGGTCTCTGGGTGACAAACCAGTCCCCATGAAGGCTACCAAAGCTGGGGTGACTTTTTGCTGTTAGGACTGCAGAGGAGCTAACAGTGGCGATTTATGGGACTGGTTGAAACTCAGAAAAAAGCCAGGAGAAAATCATTCAGCTGCTTGTCGCAGAAAATTAGAACAGAAAAATTACTGGGCAGTAAATTTACCACAATAAGAAATACTTCTTTGTGTTGTGCAGACTCAGCATAGTTCCTGGGGCAGGGGGATTGGGCACCTCCCTGAGATAAGTAACATAAACAAGTTCCCTCTTCCCCTCCCTCCCTCCCTCCCTCCTTCAGCATAGTGTCATGACTGATGACAAGTGTGCTGTGCGTGGTTGGGAGGACAGGATATTGACCGCAACATAATTCCCTTTGTAGGACCCTCCCTCTCCTCAGTCCCACTGTGCCTGTGCTGAGGGATGGGCCTGAGGACGACAGTCATGGCCCAGAAAGTTCCATGCAGGGATTCAGGACCTGATTCAGTTATGCAATTGATTATTCATGGGGCATCTGCTCTGTGCCCAGAACTATTGAAATGGAATGAACTGTGGATTGGGTACAGGTGGGTTTGAGTTCTTCCCCTGCCACTTACTAGCTGTGTGGTCTTGGACAACTGACTTCCTTCTCTGGGCCTCAGTTTCTTCATCTATAAAATGGAGGGTAATCATACCTACCTTAAGGGCTGTGATGAGAATCAGAAAATGATGTCTGATATTCGGGTTGAGTCTTCTCGACCCTCTCTGCCCTCACGGGGCCTGAGACTTAGCTCTGGAGGCCACACGTAAGGTGTAGGGGCTTCCTGGACAGCAGAAAGTTTCTCAGGACGCACGCTGAAAGGCACCGCATTGCTACTCTCTCCTTGGTCCTGGCTCCTTCCCTGTGCCTGCTCCTGCACCTTCTTCCTATTTCTACCAACTCCATCCCAAAGGGACCAACCCCTGCTTCCGAGGAGGTTTCAGGGCATTATGTGGCAGCTACTTTCCGGTACAAGTGGGGAAGCTGTTTTAGTTCATGCCTGATCCCCGCCCCAGATTCACAGCACCCAGGAGAACCTCAGCATTTGAAAGGAGCCTCCGAGACTGACAGGGTTCTCACACAGACTCTCAATTCACTGCCCTCTGCCCTGAGGCTCTGGCTTAAGTGGCCTGGGGTGGAACCTGGGCATGGGGACTTCATTTCGTTGCCATGAATGGATTGAGATTCAGAGGTAAATCATTACAGGGCCAGAGCACGTGAGGGAAGCCTGGCCTTTCGTAGAGATACAGCTGTGGCCTACAATAAATGTAAATGTAAATTTTTGTCAAACAGAAGAAACAAAGTTAAAGCTTTGATCCTTTTCATATACTGTACGTCTGAACTGTGTGGTGGAACTTCTCTAAGCCTTGGTTTTCTCATCTGTAAAATGGGGGTAACAATACTATCTGTCTCACTAGATGGGGGTGAGTATTAAACACTTCTTTTTTTTTTCTGTCACCCAGGCAGAGTGCACCGGTGCAATCTCAGCTCACTGCATCCTCTGCCTCCTGGGTTCAAGTGATTCTCCTGCCTCAGCCTCCTGAGTAGATGAGAATACAGGCACCCACCACCATGCCCAGCTAATTTTTGTATTTTTAGTAGAGATGGGCTTTGGCCATGTTGGCCAGGCTGGTCTTGAATTCCCGACCTCAAGTGATCTACCCACCTCGGCCTCCCAAAGTGCTGGGATTACAGGTGTGAGCCACCGTGCCTAGCCAAATACGATACTTCTTATGAGGTGAGAATCAAATAAAATTATTATTATGGGGTGAAGGACCCTATGAGAATATGTGTTCCATTAGGCCACCTATTGTAATTGCCATGATTTCTACTGTAAGCTGGAGCCTGCCTGCCCTGTAGCAGGATACCAGGAATAGGCCAAGTGAGACACTCAGAGGCAGCTCGGGGGCAGCCAGAGATGATCACAGAATACCTAAGCATATGGGTCATTGTATCTAAGTGTTACGAGTCTAATTAGTGACAGTGAGCCTCGCCAGTCATCTCCATAAAAGCCTTGAGTTCAGGAAGTCTCATGGCACTGACCATTAACAGGAAGATTCTGGGGCCCCAGAGGGCAGCCTGGGGGAGGCGCACCTGTCCTTACAGAATTTGGTTTCTCTGGGTGAGATTTATTTGAATTGTGTTGTTTGTCTGTTTCTGAGCCAGACTGTGAACTTCTGGTAACAGGGATCAGGCCTTAATCAACCTGGTCCTGCCACACCCTGGGTCTGCAAATACACACTGGTGCCCTCTCCCCTCCAGCAAATCCTGTTGCGGGATTCCCTCACATCCAACTAATAAGGATTCTTCTTATTTGAACCCCAGTTTCTGCTTTTAAAG